ATTGTCGTAATTTTAATAGTTGAATTCAATCTCTCATAGATGCACACTATTGTGGAGTGCCATACTAGGAAGAAACGACCCTTCAGAGCTTCCAGAATTCCAATGATAATTTAGCTTAGACCGACTGATGAATTCAACTGTGAAAATTACTACAGTCTCCACGAGTCCTCACCCTGATGATGAACTTTAGTTGAACAAGTTGAGATAGATGTTTGAAATGTAAACATGATACTATTTAAATCCGTTATAATTATTTTAATATTTAGTCATATACTGTAGGTAAAAAGAAGCTGTTCTTAATGATAATTGTATGCACAGTGAATGGATATGATTAGTAAAGCTAACTGCTTTAAGCCATACTTCACACTTGAGAGCAAGTAGTACTGCTCTGATTGAACTCCAATAAGTAGAATGGAACTCAAACGGGAGACCTAGTCATTGAAAGCTCATGTTCAATATTACAAAGAAAGTCCAAATTAACTTATTAATTGAACAATAGAGAATGTGTAGAAACGTTTGATATAACATATGAAGACTTATAACGTTGGATTGATGCTAAAAACCTTAGCAAAGAATGACATAAGTGTTATTCACTTCTTGTTAATTATTCTGAATGCTTAAAAGATATTCAATATCATGTTCACTATCTATGTAGATGCTCAATGTTTATGGTTGTGGAAACCTTGTCTTCTTTCAGGCATCAATTAATACGTCTACAGTTTCGTTAGATGAATGCAGGAAATTGTAAATCCTCAATTGCCTGTACCGAAGAAATAAACTTCCCCTGAAGGTATTTAAATAGGAAAATGGATTAGGTGTAGTCTAGAATGCCTGTATGACTATAGGCTCTAAAGGACAAATTCTCAAGGCCGATTATATAGAGCTTTCAGGGGTGTAGTTCCTGATGTGTTATTTCCGGGCTTATAGGAACTTATATCTGATGAACGACACCTTCCTTTCGTTGTGAGCATATAGTATTAATCTAGATGGTAGTTTGATGGAAGTACTGTATTACAGACATGTTCTTGTTCACCTGACGGCATTGATAGATACAAACGAATCAGAATTAGTATGTTATCATCATTTTACATTACATATCAAACATTCAGATAAATCTCAATAACCGAAATTTGTCAGATTTTTTAAAATTTTAATCATCGTTATTATTATTCAGAATGACTATATATGTGACGTGAATGTGTATATGAATGTTGTAAATGGTCCACCAGGGTGCTTCATACCTGTGTGGTTGCGCCACAGGATCGAGCTGTACTATTCAGATTGTAGCATTAGAGCCAATACGGTGTCTGGTTCTCCTGTGAAGCGGGATTAAGCTGTACTGCTCGGGTTAAGCCTGGGCGATATCTGACTCTCCTGTTAAACGCGATTGATTTGGCTGCTTGGGTTGTCACGTGAAAGACTGGATGGTGGCCGGTTCTCCTGAAAACCAATGTAAAATTACCCTAGCCTGCAAGGGTATATTATATAACCATGAATAAACTGGTTGATCCTGCCAGTATTATTCCTATGCTTTCGATGCTCCTCTACAAGGAGTAACAGGTGTAAGTAAAAATAGTACTATTCCATGCAACTTTAAACTGTTGTTTACAACCACCTGATTATAATTAATCTTTAAAATTGAAAAAAAATGATAAATTCCTTATTCTATAAACATATTGTTGTTGATTAGCTCAAACTGATTAAGAGAAGCATACCTAGGAAGAATAGAATACATCTATCATACATTGATCAACTTAGTTAATAAATATCAATGGAATATAGTCAGTCAGGTACAACGTAGAACCAGGCATATATGTACATCGGTTCAAGTGGCCATACCTCATTAACACAACAAGATGAACACCGAATTCATAAAAGTAGTTACTTCAATGGTGGTAATATATAAAGGAAAGATTGCAATAAGGTTATAGTACAGGAAGAAAGAATTAGTTGGTAGAAAGAAAGATATGAAGCGATTTTAATCTCGTAGTTTAAGGGAAGACAGAGAGTGTATACACCTACACCATTGTGATCGATTCTGAGCCATGTCACCAAGAGTCTCCAACCATTGGTTACGATAGTCATGTGAACCTCAACCAAGTAGTCTGCATCAACCAACATGGCTAAGACCAAGTTGAAAGTACCAGTTCAATGGAATATAGACCATAACTTGTGTCTTATTTGTCATTAGTCGATTGAATTTATCTGCATCTTAGTGTTGATGATCACATTAAGATTAGAATCTAAAACCTTTCATTTCAAATACTAACTTATTATCCACTAAGTTCAGATAGTCACTAGATCGTTTAATGTGTATGAATTTTATTGTATCACAGAGCATTTTTGATACCTTAAAAAAAATGAGTCTTTATTACCTTATCATTTAGAGGTGACTCAAATAGTCTCAGGTTGAAATGAAGACTCGATGTAGAATTAAGACTTGACTGTTCAGTTTATTATAAATGTTTAAACAATTTAGTTAAAAGCAACCAAACTTCAACTCCAACTAGGGCCCCTCTGGGGCTACTGCCAGTCCCAAGCGCGAACAAATGAGGAGGGTTGGGCATGGGGTTACCGGACCCCATCCCATAGAAAACGAACTCGCTACGAAAAAAAACGCTAACCAAAAAACCAAACTTCAACAAGAGCTTACATTATGTAATAGGGTACTAATCTATACTTTAAAAAACTTAAGATAACTACCTACTTAGTGGAGGAGAAGAAGGGAATAATTAGTACTCATAATTATTAAGACCATGGGAGAATAAAGGATTGAACATGACCTTCCTGAACAGAGTTCGCATTTGATATAGTAAATCATTATAACATCAACCATATACAAATTCTTCATCCAAACCTTTTTAAGACTTTGGAGGATTTTGAACGAAGATTCACGAGATGGGATGCGACCGAATCGACTATTTGTTTAAAAAGCTATTGATTTATTTGTATTGCCCTTTAAATCATCATGCAGGGTCTTGTTTAATTAGTCAATTTGTGAGAATCTATCTCCAATAATATATTAGTTGTTTAGCTTGAAAATATCATTAGACGTGATGGCCAAGTGTCTAACAAAATCTCAGCACAGTTCCAGAAAACTTGGTTGTTTGACAACTTACATCACTAGTGGTGCGGGCGAAATGCCAGTATACCAAACTGTTCAGTTAAGAATTCATTCGAATCATTGCTCATGCGTATTGGACCCACCAATCGGACAATAATGATGTTAGATGCAAGGGATTTAGCAAAGACGACACATAATGCTTCGACGTGAGATGCTGTCTCAATTAGAATTAAAGCTAGTGGATGACCAAACCAATATGTGAAACCAGTCTGTAAACCAACTAATAATTGGACTAAGCTATGTTAATTTGCGTAAACTACCTTGTTGGGGTCCGCATGATTATCATGATCAATAGTTTTTGCGATATGATTCAATATTGTACGCAATCAAACAGGTAGTTACTTTTTGTTTTCACTTAGATTAGGAATTGGAAGGCTTCCAATAATTCCTTTTCTTCGATACCTGATCATTCCTACTAACACTGATATTTGTCTCCATAAGTTCATTTCGCAGTGCTAATATGATTTGCCAAACTGCGCAGAACAACAAATATTCCAGATTGTTCATCATAAATATATATGAAGCATAATCATTACAGTCTCACTTTCAAACACAATGTAAGACTGACTTCAAACTTATTCCTTTACTAATTACTTCGATTTGATCGACCAGATGATATCACAAGTATAGAAACATGAACATTCGAAAGTGAAATGATCGCAGGCAGAAGGTTGAGAAGATAAAAGAGAATGATTAATGTGGAAATGAAGTCTGTGACGATTGACTAAGATTTTACAAACCAAACTAACTACTATATGGTTCTCAGTTTTTACTAAGAGATCCTGTAATTGTGTATTCAAATACATTTGATTATTCCAGCCTGTGACCTCCTTCACTAGGATTGTTTTTATACGAAGGTAAAAGAACCATAATAATACACAATGTTCATGAGACTGCAATGAATAATATCAAAACGAAATCTCTTTCTGTTACTGTGCTGTGTGCTACTGATATCGACAGATATAAGTAGTATGTATCATCAATCATAAGTGAAATGTCTGGTCTCAGAAGGTTAAGAAGATTGAAAGAGAATGATTGGTGTGGAAATGAAAGAACAATGAAGTGTGAGACGACTGATTGACAGTTTTTAAATGAAGTATTCACTGTATGATTCTCAGATGTAATTTTGTATTCAAACACAACCGATTGTCCCCATTTTGTTTTCTCGTTCACATAATCACCCAAAATCGACGGTGTGTTAAAATGTGGAGTTAAAATCTTTCTATGAAATACAATTTTAGCAAACAAAATTAATTATGAATGCGATCGTACAGCTGAATCTTTCTTCGCTAGATCGCTTTCTTCTTATTCAGTGAATATAATTTCACTCCTACATCCACCGAGTTATTATTGCAGTGTGTGTGCTACTAATGTTAAAACAGATATAAGTAGTAAGTAACATCAATCGTAAATGAAATGTTTGGTTGCAGGAGGTTATGAAGATCAAATAAAAGAGAATAAGAACAGAGCATGATTGATATGAAAACAAAGGAGCAACAAAATTTGGAACAATTAATATTTTACAAATGAAGTATTTACTGTACAGTTCTCAGATTTCGTCAAGTTGTCCTGTAATTTTTTATTCAAATACATTCAATTGTTTGAAATCATGAACCGATTAATGTTAGACCACCATTAAAAACCAGGAAGCACTGTACGACCGTTTCGTCGTATTTCGGGACTCCTCAGTAGTACGTATCCACGACCCCGCTCGGTGATTCGAACCCTAACGGTGGTCTAATATCAATCGATTCATCATCTCAACCAAAAACTTAATAAACTCCACAACCCCTGTATTGAGTATTTAATTGTTCCCATTTGTGTTCTTATTGATTACATAATCTTTGAAATGATCAAACATTGAAAAGACAACACCTTATTGATAGATATATATATGTTCATACTACAAAAGAATTCGGATCATCTTAGCAATAATTAAATCGAATAATTACAACATCACTATACATACATACATATACGTACATGTATCAATTTCAGTTAATCTCTGCTTCTTTATAATAAATTGAAGAAAAATAAATAAACAAATAAACAGAACAAAGAAAAAGAAAAAAACAAAGGAGGGGAAGGGAAAAGAAAAACAGTGATGGTAACTATGTATATATATATTATAGTGATTATTATTTTATAATAATCATATTATCAAAAACCTTTATTCAAATCACAAATAACGCATGCACATACAATGAAGGCAATAGAAGGTTCTTTTCTTTTTAGAAAAAAAAACAATGTTAGAAACAATTTTATATATATATATATGATTACGAGGATTAAAAGGCTAATTCAAAGGGGGGGAGGGACAAACAAACATTGTAAGCATAGCAATTCATAATGTATTATTTCTATTAACCGGTAATGAATTACAATTATATATGGTAGATTTTATGTAAATTAAATTTTAAAGGTAGGAGATGAGTACAGGGGTAACACATACATACATACATACACATACAAACGCAAGCATTTACACTATATAAAGTTTCGAAATGAAAAGAAACACCAAAGAAAAACCAATATTGTTTATCCTTCTTCCACCACTCTTCTCTTTCTCTCTCTTTGTATTCATTTCTCATACATCCTCATTATAATTAATGAACGATAAATACACAGTTGATTTTGAGCTCAATTGTTTGTAATATAAACTAGTATGAATACATATATATAGATCTCAACTATCACTACCTAGTCGTTGAAATTCAATTCAGTTGGGAGGTCTATTCAACGGATCAATAAGTTGTGCTTTAATCAATACAACATTCATTCTTCCTTCATCACAACAATTCAATTAATCTGTACAGAAAAAGAGATTTGCAGAGTTTTGAAGAAGAAGAAGAAGAGGAGGAGGAAAAACTGACAGAAGAATAGAATGATACACGAAGAACGTCGAAAGAAGAAGAACAAGAACAATTACTTCATATATATATAGTTGTGAATAGTGTATCTACACATACATATACAAGTAAGAATACATATACAATAGTAGAATATACTCAATTACACACTTACACATACAGACCACTTTTTTCTTCATAATGAGAAATACATTAGAATTACAAATTTTGTAATTTAAAATTTATTTACCAATACGTTGTTCCCCCCCCCCAAAAAAAAATTATACAACATGAAATCATTGAATATATATTCTATAAAAGACACTGAGGGATATGGAGGGAGCGGAAACGATGGGATAGGGACTCATAAAAATATATAAAATAAAAGCCTAAAATCATGAAATATTATAAATAAATAAATATTATTTGTTTTCTTCTTCTTCTTTCTCACTGTCCAATGAAAGAAAATTTTCCCACGTTATCATCAGTAGTATGTTGCATGGTATGGGTATGGTGATTAAATTCCTTTTTTGCAGAATATAATAATACATATCACTCCCCCCCTCTATCTATTCATGTCTTTGTAATGTGATATTTTCCCCCAATTTAGAATAATGTGTGCACGCGCACACAGACACACATAAGCACATTGTAATTATCATATATCTACAAATTCAGATAGTAACTATTCATGATGAAGAGGAAAGAAATCACGAATAAATAAATACAAGGCATATAGAATAATATTGACTATTATTATTATTATTAACTGGTATTTCACAATCTCTTGAGCATATAGAAAAATATTTATTTATATATTACAAATAAGAGATAAGGAGGAGAGTGGCAAACAAATATATATCTATACGGTATATCATGATGAGAAGAAACAATAAAAAAGAGAAATGAAAACACAGGGAGGAGGAGAATAGAAACAATGAAAGCCAATCAATCAACCATAGAATGAATGATATATATTAATATATATGAGCAAATTAAGTTATTATACAGGCGAAGAAGTTTCTACTTTCTGTGTGTATGTGTGTAGGGGGGAGTGGGAGAGAGAGACAGAGCGGGGAGATGGACGCAATAGGTAGACAGATACCAGTAGTATGTAATCGGGGATATAATAATAAGTAAATAAATAAATAAATGTTTACATAATATATCTTTTGGCGCTGTAATATAAAAATGACCAAATAAATAATCATTATGTATAGAATAAAATGAGAAAAGGTATTGCATAAAAGTAGAATTGACAAAATAACACTGGTGTACTATTAGTCACCGTGATTTATAATTATGTCGAACAATAATACATAGATAGATAGATAGATGAAATGTGATGAACACACATACATACAATGAAAAACAACCGGTAAAAAATCTATCATAAAATAAGCATTCACAGTATTTATACGTATACCTTCAATGAATGAATGAATGTATCAATCAATTGTAGCAACCGGGTAATATAATGCTTACATGGATATAAGTAGGAGTAGTAAGGAGCCATAAGTAGTACATGTGTATATATTTTAAAAAAATACCAGATATAATTGTGTACAATAAAGAATGAATAGAAATTGTTAATGAGAAAGGCTTCGAAATACATATACAACCATGTAGAAAAAAGTAAATAAACAGAGAGAGTTTAAGAGATTACATATAAGATAGCACAATCCTTACAATTCCTCTTTAGCACCATCGGTGACGTAATGATGTTGTTTCTGTCCAAAAACACACATACATGCATACATATATGCATTAAAGGATGTAATACATAGTCCAAGTGGGAATAAACGGGAGATAATGGAAATATACATTTTACACCTGATATTTTTTTTCTGTACACACAATCATAAACAAATAAGACACTGTAAACTATAGGAATTCAATGACGTTTCTAGAACCACAATGACAAAATTATAATAATAACGGCATCAGTTAAGTCGATGTCGATTTATTTGAAAGTTTGGGGAAAAAAATTGCACCTACACCCTCCCCCGTAAACTTTTCTGCGAAGGTTCAGGATAGTTGAATGATGAACATATTCACCGATAGAACAAAAGCATATATTGATCAATTGTAAAAATAGGCATATTCAATTATATGTCAGAGTATTGAAAGAAAAAAGAAAAAATGAAACAAGAAAGTAAACAAATAACAATAACGATAATTCGAAAGAAACTATGAAATACACACCAAAGTAAAAAGAAAATAGGAAGCCATACAGACATTGATAAACACACATACACACACACACAGTGTAAAATGCAATCATGATCGGTTCATATAACAAACAATAAATAGTAAATAGGCAAAATATAGTCAACAAATCATTAAAATTGAATGCATAATATTGATTTTAAGAATATCGTTTCCTCTGAAAATATAAGAACAATTATTAAAAAACACTTTTGTATACTCAAACAGCTGACAAAGAGAGAAAAAACGTTCCCTGTGAAAAAGCAAATAAGCAACATATATGTATATTATAAACATATACACATATTTGTGTACATCATCACAAGAAGAAGGGAAGAGGGCGCTCGAAGCATACTCTCTCTCTCACACACAAACAAACACTTCTAGTTGTGCAGTGAGAAAGCAGATGCTGTCGACGACATCGGTACAGTATTATTATTATTATTATTATTGATAGTATGACTATGAAACGATGATATGGTAGAGGAAGATGATGATGACGAACAAGAAGAGGAGGAAATAAATTGAGATGAAGACGGTGATGAGGAACAATGATGATGATGATTCAATATTCCGCATTGATTTATACAATTACGATTATTTGTCAATAATAATTCATGATTTGTACAAGTTGGTAGAATTTGTAAACTAGTCGATGAGTCTAAATCATCAACAGACAATGGAGTGAAACTAAAACTATGCAAATGATTAGTTGGTAACGTGGAATAACTACTGCTATTATTATCAGTAGTGGTAGTAGTTAATCCATTTGTTTGATGACAATAGCTCAATGGTGTTATATTATTGTTTTGTTCGCAACTGACAATACCTCCTACAGAGACACCACTTACTACTCCACTGACTCCGCCACAACTGTTAGGTGTATGAAGAAAGTTAAATGTTGATGAAGTAGAATTACCAACAGGAGTTATTGGAAATGGTGAACCACAAACAGAACCATTAACTAGGCTTCGATAAAAACGTTGAGCAACTTGACTTGATGGACCTTGAAGAAAAAAAGCATTAAAAAACACAAGTGTAACTAAATTGTTAAACTGCAGAACTATATAAATATGAAGCATATATAGTAGAAAAAAAGTGGACATGTGCCCATCATCAATCTGGTAGTATGATTCTGTAATCCAGGAGAAGAGACAACTGATTGAAATTGGTTGCACATAGCCTTTTCGAGGTAGTTCTTAATTTATTGACTCGATATACATACCTATGAGGCCTTCTCACCAGCAACGAAGTGAACAATGTGAGATATATTATTTTTACAACCTACTTTTTCTAGACCTCCGTTCCTTATGTTATGGGATGGCAGTATCAGGTGAGGGACAATCATACGCTTAATATACTCAACAATACGACGTCACTCCTTAAACCTTGAATTTGAATCTTTTAGTCTAATTGTCATTCAACCTGGATTCCTGGAACAAGTATCCCAGATAATATAGCCTGATTAGATCATAATAACACACTACCTCAACTATACAACATGAAAATAATAGCTAATAATTACACATAGTTAGATAGTGGCTATCAGTGCAATCTGGGACGCACCTTTAACCCTGCATCGACAACGGAGAGATTGAAACACTTACAGCTGAATTATAGAACATCGTTGTTGCAAATACCAGTGACTTGTCTAACTAAACTCAAAAAGTCAATAAATAACACAGTGGCCATTTGAATCGAAAGATACTACATTCGAGTTCCAATTTGAATATCAACACTATTAAGTTGCAGTAACATCTAGATATTTAATCTTAAAACAAAAAATAAAACAAAACTCGTTGATTCCATTGCTAATCACTCTCGAATTCAGGTAGGTTATAAGTGTAAATGGTAAATATCGAATCGATCCATTCAGAATGTAAACTATCAACATAACAATCATAGGAAAATTGAAGTTCGTTCAACTAGACAATTAATCAATTGTTGATATTATTGATCATTCATTTTTCTTTTACTCTATTACTACTTCATTAATGAATAATATTTTATCATGAAAAGAGATAGAAACCTTAGTGATTAGTTTATAATAATTAACAATTGTCATGTAATATGTATATCTCTCTCTCCATATCTATAATCTTAAAGAATGACTCAGAATTACATTCCATATGACTTATACAATTTATTATATTGCATATTTAGTTTATTCAACTTACATATCGTTTTATGAGTTTCTATGTGTTATATATGGATGTATTTTTGTCTGCTGTTTCCATTCCATCTACCTACCAACCTACCTACCTACCTTCAGAACACGTAGTGATTTTTTTTTGCTTTTTTTTTCTTTCTTGCTATATTACATTCATATATCAATCATATAGCAGTAAATAAATGGATTCTTATAAGATTTTCTACTCACATGTTTATACATGTAATGTTAGAATATGTGTGTATATATTTACGATAAATTCAATAATATTATATCACCACCCCTACTAGAGGTGAACCCTCTCTCTCTCTCTTTGCCATGAAATGTTTATCGATTAATGGTGTGATTACTAATGGAGAAAAAAAAAGATGTAGACTAACTCATTGTCATAGTAACTTATTATTTGAATGTTATTTTTTTTTAAAGAAAAAAAAACTTGGGTGCCTTTGTGTTCTTGTGTCTATGTGAACTCTCCCTCTAATCACAACCACCCACACACACAAACTTATATACACAAATATATATATATATATATATATATATATATATATATATATATATATATATATGTATACCAATCAATCATACTAATCTAATTGTTTCATTTTTTTCTGTTGTTGAAAACTTCGTATGATACTTTGATGCTGTTAATAATTAAAGTAATTTACCAATTACGAATGAACTAATGTGATCTTTTTTTCTTTTTTTTTCCAGAAAAACAAAACCCGATAACAATAGTCTCCAAACAATGAAGACACCAAGAGAAGAGATTAGAATGCAGAGAGAGGGTGAGAGGGAGAAGAAAATTACGATATTCAGCAAAGATTAAATTAGAATGAAAACAAATTTTGTGTATAGTAAAACAAAACATGACTTTGGGAGACACGAAAGTTAGAAAGCTGATGATGATGATAACCAATCAGAAAACAGTAATGTTATACAAAAACATAAATGAGATGGAATCATCACGGGATTGTCATTACAGCGAAGCTGTGACCAGTGGAGCTAATCCGTGTCAGGTAGTGACAGGTATCGATCTCAGTACAATGGAAGATGGTCGCGTAACTACGTGGATTGGTTGAAATTAGACATTAACACCAATGGATGCCGGTTCAGTGGTCAAGAAGTTAAGCGTTTGCGTGCGAGACCAAAGATCCTGGATTAGAAACAATTTTAAAACTGAAGATTGAAGGAGAAAGATTAAGTGTCGTGAACACTTCTATATCAACATCTCCAACCATTTGTTATAATAAACACGTGGATTGTTCAACCCTTCCCAATTACATCAACTATAGTTATATAATATACCCTTGTGGGCTGGGGTAATTTTACATTGGTTTTCAGGAGAACCGGGCACCATCCAGACTTTCACGTGGCAACCAGAACAGAGCAAGGGGGCACCAGATAACACATACGAGCCATACAAATCTCATTTGATTTGTGTCAGAGCCATGATACTGCCCGGGTGCCAAGACCTAAGGAGATGGATTTCTTAGGGGGCCACACTTTGAGCCTTCGACCTAAAGGTCTGATACACAAGGCAGTGGAGCAACGTCAGGGGACGCAGTCCCATGGTAGCCGGTGACTAACGATTGGTTCATGCGCCATTTGTTCATTCAGGATACGGGAGTCCATATGCACCATTAGTTCGGAATCAGGGTTTTCCAACTCCTTTAGGTGGACTCTCCGTATCCACCAACCCGGTTAAAGCGCCGGACATTCGCCTTTCGTCTTATCAATTCCGTCACGAGAAGCTAGTGAGTAGGACTTCCCTGGCAGAGGCTATGTACGTGTGGGGCCACGTGAGAGCATTTCGAAAGAGAGAGTGAACTCTCTCCATCCAGACTTTCACGTGACAATCTAGACAATATAAGAGAGCCAGACACTACACAGGCTTAAAATTTGTAGCCCGAAGAGTACTGCTCAATCCTGATTCACAGGAGAACCAAATATCATATATGCTTTAACGCTACAATCTGAATAGTACAACTCAATCCTGTGGCGCAACCACACAGGTATCAAACACCCTGATGGACCATTCGCACCATTTATAGACACATTCACATCACATGTTCTAGTTTATTTGTTACAAAAACTATAACCTAATGTTAATATTTATGAAATACAATGAAAAAAATAATTATATAATATTCACTTACGACTAGCACGACTACCTGTACGTGATTGTTGCATTCCATATTGTTGAGCCATGTTAGCAAGCATATCAATCAACTCTTGACTAATCTGAAAATCGACAACAACAAAAGTTGTTTTTTTAATTATATTCAATTACATTGTAATTTTCTTTTACTGGTTTAATACATTTCATTAAGTAATCAAATGAATAGAGATTCTTGAACATGAAGAATATTATTAAATGATTATTTCTTTGTAAAATATTTAGACATTAGACACTGAACAATCAAACGAACTTCAATGAGATGATGCAAAGATCAAAGCTGAATAATTATGGCAAATCTGGAAGCGTTATACACCCATTTCATTCTTCTTACAAATTCATTCAACCTAGAACAGGACCTATGACATTCAGTGTTTAATGCGAATGCCTAAGCCTAAGTTCAATAGATTCGCAATATTATGAGACCATCTACCATTGTATTCCGTGAGTACATTCCGCATATATAATAGGATTGAACTTAAATAGTCTAGAGATTAAAGATTCGTTAACGAAACCAAAGGTCTATGGTCTGATTCTCAATGAAGTGGTTGTGGATATGCATTGTTGAAGAGTCCTATACTATGAAAAAATGAATATCCTTTATCAATGAACTATTTTAATTAGCCCAATATGTTCAAGTGAATGATGTTTTATAGTAACACTTATACAAGTACAATCATTCAAAATCATTGATTTGCTTTCAGAAAGTACAAAAAAACAGTATTAGGTTAAACCATAAAATTATACTAATTTTTTTTATTACTATGATCTGTTGATATAAAACAGATGACTGAATATCTCACTTCATGTACTAATTTGAATTAACCCAAATACAATCAACACATATATTCATCAATCAATATAACCAAGAATGTCTCTTTGAAAAAACCAACCACTTGAGTTCATATAATAATTAAGGCTTTCATTTATACTTTGTTTTTTTGAGCAGAGAAACTAATGCCCGCGAGCAAGCGAACACAGAGACGAATTCAGAGTCAAATCGAATCAAGGCGCAGCTAGACAAGGTAAAGGCAATTATTAACATTCCAGTACATATATTTATATGGGAAAAAGAATGATTCATCAAGAGATATTGAAGCAATTTAACATTTAAAGGTAGGTTGAAGGATATTTGCGTAGGCTATCACATGTGATTAAGAATACACGTTTATACAAACACGATAGTGATTATATAATAATACAAATAAATAGAAACATTGTTACTATCCGAATAACGCTGTCAGTTAAATAAGTTAATTGAAGGATTTGACCATAAACAAAATTAATTGTAAGAGAGTTGCAATGAATTAAGATACATGTCTTTGAATTTGTGGATCATCGGTTTTTTGTAATATTCAACTTGAATCCAGCATTAAGTATTTTCTGGCAATTGCCTGTTTTCAGAAGTTTGTGGAGATTTTAGAAATTTCACAAATTGAAATCATGAGTCAATTGAAGCTAGATCACCATGGAAAACCTGAAAGCACTGGACGGCCGTCTCGTCTTAGTATGGGACTCCTCAGAAGTGCGCATCCATGGTCCCACACCCCGCGAGATTTAAACCCAGGGCCTATCAGTCTCGCGCCAAGCGCTTAGCCAATTAGACCACTGAGCTGGCATCGTGGATGCGCACTGCTGAGGAGTCCCATACTAGGACGAAACGGCCGTTCAGTGCTTCCAGGTTTTCCATGGTAGTGCAGCTTCAATTGACTCATGATTTTAATCTGTGAAATTACCTGTTTATTTATTATCAAAGTGCCGCGTATAAATATAAGACCATGATTTTCACCGAACATTTCTAACTTTCATTTAAGTTGTGTATTTTTTTTCTTTTCATTCAAAAAGTTGGGATCTGTTACAGTGGTGTAGGTTGTTCATAGAAGACATACCTAGATAATTCTAGATAATTAAAATCAAATGTTTAGTGAAAATTACACAGTATACGCAACATTCACTAACTGAATGAACGGGAAAAATGCTTGGGAATGCTAGATAATGCACTTTTATTGCACATTGAAAATAGGATAGCTCACCATACAATTAAATTTCACAGTTCATATTACAGCCTCATTTCTGTTAAACAACTTGCTTCCGAATGCCCTGAACGACCGAAAGCGGAGACAATCAACTCTTCCTCTCCAAATGTTCTCACATGGCCACGTACATTCAACGACTGCCAGGGGAGTTCACTCACTGCCTTCTCATGGCATTACTGTTGTTTACGAAATTGAGAGGACGAAAGAGAACGTCCGGCGCTTCAACAGGGTTGGTGGACACGGACTCTCCACCTAGGGGAGTTGGAAAACCCTCATTCCAAACCAATGGTGCACATGGACATAAGGATACTAAGGGAACAAATGGCTTATGAACCTATTATTGGTGACCGGCTTCCATGGAACTGCGTCTCCTGACGTTGCTCAATGCCTTGTGGATTAGGCCTTTAGGTCGAAGGCTCCGGGTGTGGACCCCTAAGAAAACCACCTGCTTCGGTTTGGGCACCCAGACAGCATCACAGCTCTCACACGAACCGAATGATTTGTGTGGTGCATATCTGTTTGGTGCCTTCTTGTATCTATGTTTATGTGTTTAAATAAATATGAATTCCGCAATAATGTAAATCTATAAATTTACCGGAAGTACCATACTAAAACAAAATAGCTATCCAATACTTCTTGATGATATTCAATAATAGTGTAAACAAAAACTAGTCTATGATGAAAATCATGTAAGTCATGTATCAACAACAACAACAACATAAACCATTCCTAATACAGTAAATAAATGTAACTTACTCCTGAAGCCGGTGAATTACGAAGTAGAGTAGCCAATTCATGCATTGACGATTCTTGTGGAGATGAATCTTTCCTATTCAAATTGTATTCACCAATGTTGTTATTATTATTATTATTATCATCATCATTCATAGTACAATTAACATTAGGTGATAATTTAGGAATAATGTCTAATGTTGCATGATCATCAGTAAATGAATTGATTTCATTCCGTAATGAAACTGTTGATGTTGTTGTTCTTATCATTGGTCCTGATAAAGGTGTCAAAAGTTTTCTTGACGATGATGATAATGATGATGACATTAATTTAGGCGGTGGTGGAGTCAATGGTTGTTCATCACCAATTCCAATTCTTAATGATTTCCTAGTCATCGATTTATTTGAATAATTCCATTCACTATTACCATTTAGTGAATTATTTTTATTAGATTGACCAATATGATTTTGATGTATATTAGTTATAAAATTACCATTAATATGATTATTTTGATGATTATGATTATGATGTGAAAATAAATCCAATGAATCTTCATTTAATGCATTAACATCTATATGTGGAAGACTACAAGCTGATACACTTCGTCTTGAATTATTAACTGGAGTTGAACTGAATTGTAAATAAACAAATAATAATTATAATAATAGTTACTAAGTATTGTTACCAAGGTTTAATTTGATAAATTTAAATAAATTAAGTATTGAATAGAATGTTATAAAATAAAAATCATACATTTGTAAAGAATTAGATGTTCTGATGTTTCGTCACTTAGTGTAAGTCAATTCTTCAAAGAATAAATAATTAAATTGAAGACTATAATGTATTATATATATTGGTTATTTAATGTTTGAAGAAGTGACTTACACTGAGGGACGAAACGTTAGAAAATCCTTTTTTTTCTACTTATTGTGATATTTACAAATGTATGATTTTTATTTATAATAATAGTTATTGTTTTTAGTAAAGGATATTGAGATTCACAAATCATTAATATAAATATTTAGGTAAAATTAGGATTGTAAGTTGAATATGTGAACAACTGATCTTAGTTGAGAAATTAATGACTACAGCAAAAATGTTTGATGCAGGTATGCTAAACATAAATGACAGTCCTCGCCGATGACTCAACCGGGAAGAGAATCCAATAACTTCAGATTTTACGGTAAATGTTTAACTACTGAGGTCCTTTTTTATTTATTTTATTTAAACACAAACATTGGCACCAAATAGGTATGCGCCACATAAATCGTCCGATTTATGTGAAAGCCAGCATACTGTCTAGATGACCAAACTGAAGCGGGTGATTTTCTTAAGAGGCCACACCTGGAGCTTTCGACCTAAAGATCGAATCCACAAGACAGTGGAGAAACGTAAAGATATGTAGCTCATTAGTAGCTGGTGACCAACAATTGGTTCATATACCACTTGCTTCCTTAGGATCATGGAGACCATGTATATCACTGGTTTGCAATCAGTGTTTTCCAACTCCCCTAGATAGATCCCCGTATCCACTAAAGTCAGGAAAACAGTGTCCGAATGGTGTTCAAACCTCGCGAGGCGGGATTGTGGATGCACACTGCTGAAGAGTCCTACAACAGAATGAAACAGCTATCCAATGCTTTCACCAGATTTTCCATGACGATCTATCTTCGACTGACTCATGATTTCAACTATTGAAATTTCGTTATATACAATAATGAATTTAAAGGTCGTGAAGAGGGAAGCATAAATACGTATGTACATAAAAACAACCAAGTATACCTGAACTTTATATCATAGATACAACTAATTAAATTAACTAAATAGCTTGCAAGAAAAAAAATTTTTCAATTATATATATAAATCTGTACATAAATAGAAAGAAAAAAAAATAATTAATTTCCTGTGTGGGTTGATGTAAGGAAATAGTTTGACCATTCAATGCAGAAAAAAAAAGAGAAAGAGAGGGGAGGGGAAACACCGAATCAATAGATTCATAATGATATCAGTAAAGTGTTCAATTACTTGGGGTAGAGGAAGGGGGAAGAGAAGAAAGGCATAAATAACAATAGGGATGATTTTAAAAAAAATAGTTAGGATCTATGATAATTCACTTCAATTAAGAATTACACTAACTATCTACCGTTCCTAATGGAAGAGTAATAAGGGATACACATGAGTAAATATAATAATAATAATAATAATAATACATTCTATCTTATTCCATTTACACAGAAAATGCATAAAAAGTATTTTTTTTTAAAAAAAAGATCAAAGCATTTAGATAAATTCAAATTTGTGTAATACTATAGTGTAACAGTAGTAATAAAGATAATGGTAGCTATTAGTGGTTAAAATCTAACCTTGATAATAATTAAAATTTAATAATTATCTCTATATTTGATAAATTAGAAAGGTTTAATTCGATTGTCATAATTGACTATCCTATATATACTCACTGATTCGCTAATCAAATGTTGTTTACAAAATTCAGAGGGTAAATAACTGAATATTCAACGATTAAATTGAATTGGTAAGTAAAGAGGATTCATCTAGGGAAGTTGATGAAACTTAATACCTTATAAATATTGCTCACATCTGCTAGAATCACCGGGTAAGTAATAGTGAGGTTAGACGGCAGGGTATTAGGGAACGATGGTAAATCAGTTGATGAGGTTATGAATCTTCATCGACTAAGATGGTTGGGCCACGTGTTACGTATGTCTGAGCACCGATTACCACAACGCGCAATGCTGACTAGCGTTGAGGCTGGTTGAAAGTTAGGGGCGGCCAAACCAAAATGTGGCATCAGTCCTTGAAGTCACTAACCTCTAGTCTGAGCCATGTTGGTAGATGCAGACTACTTGGTTGGGGTCTGCGTGACTATCGTAACCAATGGTTGGAGACTCTGGATGACATGGCTCAGAAACGATCACAGTGGAGTAGGTATATACACACTCCGTCTTCCCTTAAACTATGAGATTCAAATCGCTTCATAACTTTCTTTCTACCAACTAATTCTTTCTTCCTGTACTATATCCTTATATGCAATCTTTCCTTTATATGTTACACCATTGAGTTAACTGCTTCTAGGAATCCGGTTTTCGTCTTGCTGTGCTAATTGAGGTGTGGCAACTTGGATCGATGCATATATGTGCCTGGTTCTAATTTGTAGCTGACTGACTGTATACCAAACCAATGGCGCATATCGACTTCATGATCCTAAGAGAACAAATGGTGTGTGAACCTATTCTTGTTTATCAGCTACCATGGATCCGCATCTCCTAACGTTACTCCGCTGTCATGTGGATTATACATCTGGGTCGAAGATTTAAGGAGTGAGGCACTAAGAAAAGCACCTACTTCAGTTTGGGTATCCAGGAAGTATCCAGCCGTCACATATATCAAATGGTTTGTAAGGCGTGTATATATTTGATTATCCCTTGTACTAATATGTGTTTAAATAAATAAACGATAGACGAACAAATGAAATCAATATATTTGATAGGAAAGGAAATTGTGTTTAAATGAAATATGAAGTGAGAATATACTATGGTTACAAATGTCCTAATCAATTCAAAGTGAAATTTAACAGAGTTAATCATAACTAACGTATAATTTCGTTACATTTGTACATTCGTTCAAGTGCTCATATTGAAATGAAATTATCAAGACAACTGACAAAGTAGTAGATGTAGTAATAGTATCAACAGTAGAACAAAACATTGCCTATAAACAATATGATTTCAGAAGGAATAAATAATTCGAGAAATAAAAAGTATACAATGATTTTCAAGCTCAATATCTAAGGAAGAAAACACAGTGTAAATGCATCCAATGTGATAATAACCGATTCTGAGTCAAGTTATCCAACATTTCTAACCGATGGTTACTAATAGTGATAGTAGGAGCACTATATGTGCTGAACAAGCTAGTGGTTACTTGAATTCTACAGTTTAATTGATAGCTAACTGACGTTTGAAAAGCAAAATACTGGGTTCGAATCTTACTATGAACAGAAACATCAAGAAGCAAATACATATTCAGCTGAAGATTTTTTTTCGTAAATAATATGTTGCCATATAACTGCTACCAAGTTCGAATTATGTTACAATAATCACTGGTTACAACCATTTCTATATGCCAGAACCAATAATTTTACATCATAATATTAAGTGATTTCATGGATTGAGATCCCAAATCTTCGTCACTGAGTTACATAATTGATGTATAGCCAGTGAAGGTAAGATGTAGTTGGCCAGTGAGCGAAGACAAACAGACAGCCAACTCTGACAAATCTATGAGATACTATTTAACATTATGAAATCCATATTATTATTGATCTCATCTCTCGGTTTTACTGTGTGTGCATTGCTTCTATTTGTAATAACGAGACTATAACCTTACCTATTATCTGGATCTCAGTTTTTAGCAGTGAGTATCATGGTCCAGTGTGCCCAGTTGTATTGTTCAGTTTAGCCGATTACTATCATACATTTGTATTGAGGATAGATCTGTTTGTTGTTCTTGCCTTCATAACAGCAACAAACTATTTGGTTTCATGAAATTAAATGCAGAATGTTTGTGGACAAATCAAGACTTGGCAGTAGTTCACGGAGTTATTAAATGTTGGTCTATATCATGTTAGTAACTGAAAACTGCCTCGTTAGAGAGTCTGCACCATCAGTGATATAGTTCAGAAATGTTCACAATGTCACAGATGTATCGGCGAGACTATAATTTATGGACGAACCAATCAGATATAAGATAACAGGTCTCGGATTTTGGTGCGAAATTCATTCATCCATTTCGTTAAATAGAGTTTTAGCATTTAAGCTGATGTGATGAAAACATTAAGTCAAAGTCCTAACCTTAACAATCAACTGTAAATCATAATTCTAATTCCTCAAACTGATTTATAAGCCTCATTTGTTCCTAGTTATTAGATGAACACTCTCAATGTCACTTTAGCGTCGTTCAAAGATCGTCTATAAATTATAGTCTCACCAATATATTCACTTCTTATCTTCGTGTCATTTCTGAGTTTCAGTCAGTCAGCGACAACGTAGGACCAGGCACATATATATGCATCGATCCAGGTTGCCATAGCGCATCAGCACAACAAGATGAACACCGGATTCATAACAGTGATTAGGTAAAAGGTGGTAATATATAAGAGAAAGATTGCATATAGAGATATAGTACAAGAAGAAAGAATTGGTTCGTAGAAAGAAGGATATGAAGCGATTTGAATCTCTTAGTTTAAGGGAAAACAGGGAGTGTATACACCGACGCCATTGTGGTCGATTCTGAGCCATGTCACCAAGAGTCTCCAACCATTGGTTACGATAGTCACGCGGACCCCAACCAAGTAGTCTGCATCTACCAACATGGCTCAGACTAGAAGTTAGTGACTTCAAGGACTGATGCCACGTTTTGGTTTGGCCGCCCATAACTTTCTTCCAACCATTTCTAATACCGGATAGCATTGCACGTCGTGGTAATCGGTGTTCAGGCATACGTAACACGTGGCCCAACCATCTTAGTCGATGAAGATTCACAACCTCATCAACTGATTTACCATCCTTTCCTAATACCCTGCGTCTAACCTCACTATTACTTACCCGGTTATCCCAGCAGACGCCAGCAATATTTCTTAGGCATCTGTGGTCAAATACTAATAGCCTACGAGTGTCTTCGACTCTTAATGGCCATGTTTCGCTACCGTAAAGTAAGACAGAACGGACTGCCGCGCAGTATAATCGTCCTTTTATTGATAGAAGGATATCTCGCCTTCGCCACAGGTGACGTAAGTTGGCAAAAGCCAAACGAGCTTTCAGTATTCCTTCATGTATACCTTCTCATCCTATCTTTTCAAACCATATTCTTCAAGGTTTAGTCTTTCTTTTTATCATTACTGCTATAATATTTCTATCTTTGTTTTGATTATTATCATATCATTATGCTAACTAGGTACAATAACTTGGGCTCAGATTCCATGTTGACAATAATGTCAGAATTCGGAGCTCATTATTGAAATAAAACATTTAAGTATGATATAACAAAATTCTATATTACATATAGATATATTGTAGTATTCTGTTATGTTTCCTATAATTAATAAACAACAATGGTATTGTGTGTTTAAATGACCTTGAAAATAAAACAAGAAAGTAAACAGAATATAATAATATGCCCATTACCACTAATACCACTGAATATGGTTTATCACCAGACTACAGATAATTAACCTTTCATTGTGCTAAAAATACAATTTGCAAGAAAAAAAATGTATATACAAATACTGTGATAAACCGTAACAGTAATACTTTGATTATAGTTCAAGCAATTGGTGCCTAATAGTAGCAATAATAATAAGAATAGTAATAGTGAAACATGGGAAAATGTTTACAGAAAGTCCCAAAGAAACAACCTTTAGAAAGTATAAAGAACCTATCTTCATTCATCTTATATTCAAAAAATGAAGAGATTTCCAGTGGGATCGATAAAAGGATTAAATTAGAACTGAAAAAAAAATAGTATATTTACAGTTCAATGGTGTAGGTGTATACACTGCTTCTGTGAATCCGGTGTTTGTCTTGTTGTGCTAATTGAGGTATGGCAACTTGGACCGATACATAAATGTGCCTGATCCTATATTGTAACTGACTGACTAACTTTAAATCAATCGAAAGTGGATTAATAACCGTTTAAGGATATCTCTAAATGTAGTTACGAATCTATATGTACTTTTAAAAACAAGTACATAAGGGGGACCGACAGAAAGGTATCTATCTCTACAAGGTTTTCTGAACATATTCCTCGAAAGTTGTGTTTGAAGTATTCATAAGTGTAACCACAAGAAATTTAATCGATAATGAGCACAAAGTGAACATTACCATCAAGGCCTTATTATGAAGAAAGAAAGTACGATAAACCTCATTCATTACCATAGGAAGATAGTTATATAAACTATCTTATCTACTATGTCGTTTTGAACTGAACTTCTTTAATTCACTCAATCATCTACAATGTAGGAGACCAGGTACATACATGCATCGGTCCAAGTTGCCATACCTCATTAGCAGAACAAGATGAACACCAAATTTATAAAATCAGTTATTTCAATAATAGTAATGCATAAAAGAAAGATTTCATTATAAGAATGTAGTACAGGAAGAAAGAATTAGTCCGTAGGAAAAAAACGTATAAAGCAATATTAATCTCACGATTTAAGAAAAGACAAAGAGAGTGTATACCTACACCACTGTGATCGATTCTGAGCCATGTCATCCAAGAGTCTCAAACCATTGGTTACGATAGTTACACGGACCCTAACCAAGTAGTTTGCATCTACCAAAATGGTTCAGACTAAGGTTTATAATAAAACATTTTTATAATCATATTACTAATGTTAATTGGAATTGATGAGAAGCTTTAAAATACATTGAATCCATGTTATTCTGTAAATTTTGTTCTTCTCACTTTATTTAAAATTAAAATAGGTCAAAGTATGATATACTGACGACCTTTAGTTGACCAATCAGAATTAAGATAACACTTTAGCTATTTTGCGCGAAATTTAAAGTACATTGATAGGTAATATGTACTTTATTATTAACCAAATGGAAATTGGTGCTTGAGATGTTTTAAATCAATAAAAATATCTATTGTGCTACCAATAAAGTGAATAATAGATCATAAACATAAACACGAATCCGGTGTTCATCTTGTTGTGTTAATGAGGTATGGCAACTTGGACCGATGCATATATGTGTCTGGTTCTACGTTGTAGCTGACTGACTGACTGAAACATAACATGCCTACTCCTAAGGTAGATATAGTCTGTTAAAGTACTTGATGTGGTTTACTGAATAATTAAGTGTTTTGATGAAGTTAGATCATATTCTCCCTTTTCTAAGTTTTATTCTACATCTCACAACCTTAAGTTTCACAAATTTGTAAACAAAAGAAGAATGACAAAGCATTGATTTATAGTTTATTTCAGTTCATGATGAAAATCCTGACCTAAATTTGTAAACCTAATTCAAATTCGTGACTAAAACTTTATAGGGTGACAACCTTAACTTACAATACTAATCTGACTAGTAATTTTGTATGTACACATATATGTAAACTTGACCTTTTTTCCTTATTACGAAGGATAATTTGACGTAAAAGTGTTAATTATTTAAATCAAAGCTGTCATTATTCCACTGTTAGTTGTTTAGTAACTAAACAGTCTTCGAATTGGTTGATAGGCTACCACCCAACGTCACCGCAGCATATTATACTTTTACCTAATAATAATAATAATGTTGATCAATAAATAACCCCAATCCACTGGTGAAATCTCAATCATTTTCAGTTGGGTAACACTCATATTTCAAAATAAAGCAATATAATTTATGAACCGATACAAAATAACAAAAATATCCATCATTCTAACAGTGTGTTAATACTTTTTCTGTGAATGTAATGTATTAAACAAATGAGAAACATTATGGTGAAGTGAGCGCGAGGACACTGAACCCATTAAAATCAAGGTGGACGGAATAGAACTTGGACTTAAGACTGATAGGTTGTCTATCAAATGGTTTAATCAGTAACATATAATTTAATTAGCTAACTTGATGCGTTAAAAGATATGTAAATATCTGATATCCTACAGAATGCTAATTACACCTTGAATACCTCTCCGTCTCAAACTATGAATTAAAGTATGTTCAAGTTCAAATAGTAAAACGAAGTATTAGATCTATCACGATTAAAAATATTCCGATAAAATTAACAAATAATCACAACCATACATACGATTATACGTTTACTGATGAACAAAATCTATTCTTGGAAATCTAGTGAGGAGAGATGTCCAGTAAAATTCAATTGTTTTAAAATTCAGATGAATCTCAACATTCCAAATAAATAATAACGTAAACTATTGTTTGAATCTTCAACGTTAATCACAAAGCCTGAATAACCTGGTTTTTAATCCTTGGTGGGTCGTGGATGTGAACCATCATTAAGGTATCTAATACTTCAACGTAACTACTGGTTAATGATTTCTTATTTTCATTAGTCATCAAACTATAGTCACTTAATGAAATAAATTTACAAAAGGACGATTTACTTTTTTCTACAATAAAAGTAGACGGAGGGAAACAATCAATTCCTTGTCATTTTTTCTTCTTATAGAACTTACCTCTCCATCATTAATGGTGATTCACTGACATTCGCTAAAGCAGCAACAATTGCAGCTATCACACGTCTTCCATTTGGACTAGCACTACCGATCTCATCAGAATTCAGTAAATCTTGTCGATTATTAATATTACTATTATTATTAGTGGTAGTAATACTACGATTATTGTTGTTATAATTTAACAGAAGCGGATGAATTTCATTGTGGCTAATTTGTGATTTAAATGAATTATTTAAATTCGATGAAGAATATGATGAAAAATTTGATACAGTTGAAGCGGTATTACGTGCAACCATAATATCAACTAATTCTTGATCCATTTCACCTTCATCATCATCATCAACAACATCTTCGTCAACATTACGATCACTGGTATTATGATGTGTAGAAGAGAAATTAACATTTGCAGCATTGGTTATTAATTGATATTTTTCTGAAATTTGTTTTTTTGGTGAATTATTTACTGTCATATTTGTTGTAAATGATGAAAGACAACGTGAACCGGGATCATTATTTATATAATTTAAACTAGTAGGAATTAGTTCTGTTGAACTGGGACGACCAATTCTACTATGCACTGGGACTATTAATGTACAGAAAACAAGAAATAAACACACAAAGAATGAAATAATGTGTAGACATCAGTAATGAAATAGTAGCACAATTAATTGAGAGGCAAAAAAATGACAGCTTCTACGGATATGGACATAAACCAATAAAATGAAAAAGGGTGAAGTTTCTGACTTTTCATTCTATAGCTAGTGGAGATGGGACAATGTTTGTTAATCATAAACTATGTTTAAAATGAGCATATACGCACACTGATTCAGGTTTCCACACTGAAATGCAATTATCAAGACAACTGACAGAGTAATCGATGTAGTAACAGTATCAATGATAGAAAAAAACACTAACCATAGACAATAAGATGAGAGCATTACATCGTAGAGTAAAAAGTACAAGATAATCTTAAGAATTAAAATATAGGGAGATAGACAAAGAAAGAATGAATACATCTACGTGATTGTGACTTATTCTGATCTAACATCTCATTCAATGCTTTTAACTATTGGTTGGTCACAAGATAATTGCACTGATCACAATCACATGGTCTTCACTTACCAATATAGATCAGTGCAACAGTTAATCACTTCAGGAACTGATGTCACATCTTGGTCCGGTTGCCCCTAACTTTTTTCAAACCTACTCCTATATAAGTCAATATTGCATGTTGAGGTAGGCGGTGGTCGACCGTGCATAAAACATGTCCCAAACCAACCCAATCAGTGAAGATTCCCTACTTCATTAAACGACATACCATCTGTTAAAATCTTACTGAAAAAAAAACGAGATTAAACAAGGAAGGATTATGACGTCTCAGGATAAAGGAAGTCAAGAGACCGATGCCCCTCCTAACAACCAGAGCAAAAACTTAAGTAGGCACATGGAACGTCCAGGCAATGTGAGAGACCTTAAGGACCAGTCAAATAGCAACGGAAATGAGGAGATAAAAATTGACAGTGCTCGGAATCAGTGAAACCCATTGAACCGAGCTGGACGGCAAAGGATAGATTCCGGAGAGATACTGTTGTACTTCCGGTGAGAATCTCATGGATCCAGGATCACCAAAGCATCATTTGAAACAAAGATGGGAATCACAATGAATGTTATCCAATTTTATGCACTCACCAATGATAACTATGACGATAAAAATCAGTTTTACGAGAGGTTGCAATCGATCATAGCGAAGTGACCACAAAAAACACTTGACAATTCTAATGGGAGACCTAAACGCCAAAGTCGGAATGGACAAAACTGGGTATGAAGATGTCGTGGGACGGCATGGAGTGACTGGGAGAAAGGAACGAGTGACGAAAGACTTTCGAATTTATGTGCATTCAACGAAATGGTTACAGACGGCACAATATTCCCCCACAAACGCATACACAAAGCTACGTGTGTCTCACCGGATCACACTACAAAGAACCAGATAGGTCATATTTGCTTCAGCGAAAAATTCGGAGAGTTAATGGAAGACATGAGAACAAGGAGAGGGGCTGATATAGCCTCAGATCATCACCTGGTTGTTGCCAAGGTGAAACTGAAGCTAAAGAAGCACTGGACAACTGGACAAACAGCATTACAAAGGTTCAATTCAGCCTTCCTTCGACATACTGACAAACTCAGCAAATTCAAGATAACTCTCATCAACAGGTTCCAAGCCTTTCCAGATCTACTGAAAGAAGAAACTACTATTCAGGATAACTGGAAAGGGATAAAAGAAGCACTAATTTCAACGAGTAAGAAGGTGCTGGGTTGCAAGAAGTATCATCATAAGGAATGGATCTCTGTCGAAACTCTAGACGAAATTCAAGAAGGAAAGAACAAGAAGACAGCAATTAACAACAGCCGAACAAGAACGGAGAAAGTCAAGGCACAAGCTGAATTCACAGAAGCATTAGAGCTGAAAAGCAGAAATACGCGAAAGATCTAGCAACGATAGCATAAAACACTTCAAGGGAAGGAAGTATGAAACAATTACATGAAAATCGCAGGTACATATGGTAAATCAGATAGACCGGTCAAGGACAAAGAAAGTAAACCAATGCCTGAGATGCAAGAATAGTGGAACAGGTGGGTACAACAGTTTAAAGAACTCTTAAATGGGTCAACCCCACTGAACCAATCGAACATCGAAGCATAGCACACACTTCCAATAGCTGTCACTCCACCAACGATCGAAGAAATCAGGATGGCCATCAGACAAGTTAAGAGTGGGACCAAATAAAATACCAGAGGAAGCACTGTAGTCAAACACAGAAGTAAGACGTTTCACGTTCTATTCAGGAAGAACAAGTGCCGATAGACTAGAAAAAAGGACACCTTACTAATATACGAAAAGAGATCCGAGCAAATGTGAGAACTACAGATGAATCACACTACTATAGGTATCAGGAAAAGATTACAACAAAGTGTCGTTGAACCGGATGAAAGATGCAGTAGACGTCAAGCTTCGAGATCAACAGGTTGGATTCCGTGAAGATCGATCATGCACAGATCAAATTGCAAAATTATGGATCATTGTCGAACAATCAATTGAATGGAACTCGACAATACATTTAATTCCTTGACTATGAGAAAGCATTTTACAGTGTGGATAGGAGGAATTTATGGAAACTTCTACGACACTGTGGAGTACCTGAGAAAACCGTCAATATCATCCAGAATTCATACGACGGACTATGCTGCAAAGTCGTGCGTGGAGGACAGCTGACAGATGCATTCCAAGTGAGAGCCGAAGTCAGACAGGGATGCTTACTCTCTTTCTGGTGATTGGCTGGATTATTAAGACCTCCACATCTGAGGAGGAAGCACAGAATACAATGGACAGTCTGAAACCACCTAGACGATTTAAACTCCGTAGATCACCTGGTCCTTCCATCCCATAGATATGAACAAATGCAGATGAAGACAACCAGTGTAGCAGAAGTCTCTGCAACAGTAAGGCTTCACAACCAAAAGAGAGAAAACAAGATCCTCAAATACAACATAGAGAACATCAATCCAATCACACTTGATGGAGAAGCTCTGGAATCTTTCACGCATCTGGGCAGCATCATCGGTGAACAAGGACGAGCCGATGCAGACGTAAAGGAGAGGATTTGCCAAGTAAAAGTTGCATTCCTAAAGATGAAGAAAATATGCAACTAAAAACAACTGTTAACCAACATCGAAGTCACAATCTCCAATACAAACGTCAAGACAGTCCTACTGTATGGAGCTGAAACTACGAGAACTACTACAACTATCATCAGAAAGGTGCAAGTACTTCTAAACAATTTTCTACGCAAGACACTCAATGTCCGTTGACCGAAAACCATCAGAAACATACTACTGTATGAGAGAACAAATCAGTTTCCAACTGAGGAGGAAATTCTGAAAAAAACGATGAAGGTGGATAGAACACACATTGTGGAAATCACCAAACTGAATTGCGAGGTAAGCGCTTGCCTGGAATCCTGAAGGGGGCGGAAAAGAGGAAAGCCAAATAACACACTACGTTGAAAATTAGAATCAGACATGAAAAGGATGAATAGCAACTGAAAAGGATTGCCCAGGACAGGGTTGGATGGAGAATGCTGGTAGGTGACCTATGCTCCTTCACGAGAGTAAGTTTCTCAAACTTGACGTCAACATAGAAAACGGAAATCAGTAACGACAGTAGGGAAAGTGAAGTAGTGTTTGGTAAAAAGATGAAAAATGAGAAGGAAAGATAAATGAAATTGAAGAAAGAAACGTATGAAAGTTGAAAATCTTCAAAATTAAGAGTGAAATGAAGCATAAATGGATTTTTGACAAGATTGAAATGGCTTTGGGCTATTTTTTCATAAAATGTTGATGAATACTTATTTTTTTATGTATTTTAACACATAGATATTGGTACAAGGAGGCACCAAATACACATGCGCCACACAAATCTCATTCGATGTGTGAGGGATATGACACTGCCCGGGTGCCCAAACCGAAGCAAGTGGTTTGCTATGGGGGCCACACCCCGAGCCTTCGACCTGAAGGTCTGATCCACAAGGCAGTGGATCAACGTAAGGAGATGCAGTCGGAAGCCGGTGACCAACAATTGGTTCATACGCCATTTGTTCCCGCAGGATACTGGAGCCCATGTGCACCATTGGTTTAATATCCGGTTAAACCGCCGGACATTCGCTTTTCGTCCTCTGAATTTCGTAAACAACACCCCCGCCACGAGAAGGCAGTGAGTAGGACTTCCCTGGTAAAGGCTATATACGCGTGGCCATGTGAGAGCGTTTCGAGAGGGAGAGCGGACTCTCCCCACTCTCGGCCGTACCAGGGCATGAATACTGAAACAATAAGAACGATATTTTCAACTATCTACATATACAGCTCAAATCAATATTCAATGACTGATACCAAACATTGTCCGACGTTATTTCAGTAAGTAACAAGTGGCTAGAAAATAAAATGTGCAGATGGATTTTGAAGAAAATGTTCTTGCTCTGATAAGTTATTCACGTACGGAATTATCCAATAAATCTTTCACAACTACAAATAACGAACATAAACACACACACACACAGAGGTAGAAAAATTGTTAACTAATTATAATTTTATTTTCATTTAAATAAAATAAACCAATAACTTACCGAATGGTGATTTATGATGTACCATAAAGGTATTCGTTGTCGATTCTGTCGATGTTACAGGTGTTGTTGATAAATGTGAATGTGAATCATCAAAATTGCATAATCCGGTTGCTGTCGATGTTGTCATCATTGAGGTGTTGCTAGTTAATGAATTTGATAGAGGATATGACAGTAGGTTTTCATCTAATGAACCATCTATAGTTGGTGTTCTAGCTTCAGGACGTTTTTTCGCCGGTTGCCGAGGTGTTGACTTCCCACTAGATGAGTAATTGGAACTATTCATCCAAGATATTGTTGTATTAATATTATTGTTATTAGTAGTCGTATTTAATGTATTGTTAACAGAAGATGGATATATATGTAAGCCATTCATTGAACTACTATTGACTATTAATCCAAGATACGGTTGTGAACAAAGGAATGTACCATCTTTATTTAAATTACAGTGACGTTGTTGTTGTTGCATGGTAGTGCACGATTGAAGTAGAAATGGTGATGATGAATGATCGTCATCGCCGTCATCATCATTCTCTTCCTCTTCGCCTTCTTGGTTTTGTCGTTGAACTAATGATTGATCAGAATGAAAATGATGATCATGAAGCATTGACTGATCTTGATCATTCTTAATAGATCGTGATACATAAGAGTTAGGAGAAGTATGAGGTAATAGACTATTCGAAGTAGAGATAACTATAGAAGTCGTAGCAGTAGTATTACTATTAATAGTAGCAGTAGTAGGAGTAGTAATAGTATTAGCACATTGAAGTGATCTAGATAAGGCAGAAGAATTATCATGCATAGAAAAAGTATAAAATGCACTTGAAGTATTATTATTATTATTATTGGCACATGTCAAACTAATAGGATTATTTGAGATCAATGATGAAATATTCCCATTGGTTAATAATGTTGAATCTGATGGTCGACGAATTTGTGGATGGATTTGTGAAATTCGAGTATTATTATTATTAGTAGTAGTAGTAGCATTAGCATTATTATTACTACTATTACTATTATTACTAAATGGTATTCCAGATATAAGTAGAGGTGGACTTGATGAAGAATGTAAATGATATGAATTTTTTGCTGGTGATGATGGAAATGAACTAGGTGATACTGGTCTTGGTCGTTTTAAACTATAACGTTCAGATTTTAATAGAATTCCATTATGATCTTTTGAATAAACCATTGAATCATGATTATTATTATTATTATTAAGATTATTAGATTGAATTGAATGATTTCTATTTGTAGAGCATATTAATGTTGAATGATTGAAATCATTCATTGAATGTTGATATATAGGTGATGGTTGTTGAGTATAATTAAGTGTATTCAATGAAAAATTATTAATTGTAGTTGTTATGGTTAATGATTCATGTAATGGATCTAATTTATGAGATTTATGATAACCACCATAGGATAGATATGAATTTGGCTAAGATTATAGAATGAGAAAAATAAACAGTAATAATAATAATAATAATAATAATAATAATAATAATAATAATAATAATAATAATAATAATAATAATAATAATAATAATAAATCTCATGTAAAATGTTAATTTAGAAAATGAGATCAAATTGTAGTTATTCAATATGATAATAATAAGATCAACGTATTGATTGAGTACCTTTGTGATATGGGCTACTTATATCCGTATAAGTAGTATATAACGATGGTTAGGAATAGAATGTATTTTAGTAGAAGATCAATAAGGAAAGAACAGGAATGGAACGCAATTGGTATGAAAATGGGTGAAAAATGAAATCTGAGACAATGGAGTGATATTTACAAAAAAGAAACAGTCAAGCTTGAGACGATGGATTGATATTTTGCAAATTAACTATTTACCATGTGGTTCTCAGATTTTAATGAGATATTTTGTAATTTTGCGCTCAAATACATTCGATTGTCCCCACTCGTGTTCTTGTTCACGATATCTTCATTAATTGTAACTTGGTTACGTGTCACCTGACTTTTAAGCAATAAATTGTAGGTGGTTATTAATTAGGGCTCAGTAGATAAGTGAAAGAAGCGATGGTGTTTGAAGCAAACAGTACTTACTGGGTTCCAGTCCCAGAGTGAATATCAACTCCGAGTTGCAGGTAAATTTAGGTGACGAGTCTTAAATAGGACGTAACGTACATCCTAAACCCCAATGCTAATTACTATCCATCTTTGCTTATAAAGCTTGTGACTTAAGGCAATATGCCATATTCAGTCTTAAATAACAATGGGAAGATATACTTAAACAACATCAAGTGAAGATAAGTGTTATGTCGGAAGAAAACAACATGTTGTTTTCCTGTAATGTACTGTATCAAATTCCATGTGATAAGATCGTGATGACAGTAAACCAGTTGTATGGTATATGTTTCTTTTTTTTAGATAGATTATCGACTAGTCCATTTATATTCCTAGTAGGATTGGTGACCTACTATTTACCAAATGATACATTGATCAATCAAGAGGTTAATATTTACCAGTCCTCAAGCTCCTTCTAACCAAGTGAACAATCAGAAAACGAAGATAAAAAAGCATATTGCTTCTATTATACTATACTCAACTCAATTATGGCTTCAAACTCAAACAATAATATATATATATGAAATTTTTGAACACATAGTAACACAATAAAGGAAGGAAAAAAGATAAATAATTAATCATTAAACACTATAACAAGAATTAGATAACTGTTTCACTTAAATTGGTTACAACCAACAATTATATTTTCATTTCTTATGAATAAGGCATAACATCAGTAGTAGTGGAATGTCTTTTAAGGTCAGTTTTTGCTTTATTATGATGGATGGATTGGTGAGGCAGTAAAGCTTCACTGATTGATGTGGTGCATTACATATGTGTTATTATCGCCTACATCAATATGCAGTGTTCACTGACGATGTAAGAGTAGGTTTGAAGACAGTTAGAAATTATAAAACCAAGATATAGCGTCAGTCTATGTAACTATTGACAGTTCGTGTGTCCAAAATATCTTATTTATTTATTTGATTAAACACATAAACATTAGTAGAAGGAATCACCAAATAGATATGCGCCACATAAATCATTCGATTTGCATTAGGCCTGGGATACTGCCAGTACGCCCAAACCGAAGCAGGTGATTCTCTTAGCGGGTCACACCCGAAGTCTTCGACCTAAAGGTTCAATTTACAAGACAGTGGAGCAACGTAAGGAGATGCAGTCCCATGGTAGCCGATGATCAATAATTGGTTCATACGTCATATGTTCCTTGAGGTTCCTGGAGCTCATGTGCACCATTGGTTTGAAATCAGGGTTTTCCAACTCCCCTACGTGGACTCTTCGTATTCACCAACCCGGTTAAAGCGCCGGACATTCGCATTTCGTCCTCTCAATTTCGTGAACAACAGTAATGCCTCGAGAAGGTAGTAAGTAGGACATTTCTGACAGTGGTTGTATGCATGTAGTCATGTGAGAGGATTTCGAGAGAGAGAGAGAGAGAGATAAAGAGTTGCCTCTCCCCACCCTCCCTCGTATCAGGACATTTAGGGGTTCAAACTATCTACCGTGATTAGTAATTGAGAATATTAATTAATATAGCTAAGAATTGGTCTCAACATCGTAGAATGCGTTGTATCAATTGACATCATGAGAATTTTTAATATTATTCTACATAATATGAACTATTGTTGATTACATAATGAAAAATGATCATAAGTGACGGAATAACAAACAATAAACTACCAAATTGAAAAGTGAAATTCAATGATACCTATTTATCACATTATTGTTTAATAAGAAAATAATAATGAATAATTAACAAAACAGAAGAAACAAACAAAATATTGTTTTGTTTTGTTTGTTTCTAGAAGAAGAAGAGAGAGGGAGAGAGAGAGAAAAAGGAGAAGTAGAAATTCCAGACAAGAACCTTGAACTTATTCTAATATGATACATAGTTAAAATGAATACATAGTCAATCCGTTAATTAATATTAGCTAATAGTAAAATGTAGAAATATGATCAGCTTTTTTTGATTATTATTATTATTATTATTATTATTATTATTATTATTATTATTATATTCTTACTAACAACAAAGTGTTATATAATAAATTACACGTATACATATATGTGTGTTTTAAGATTTTTGATAAACCAGTAGTGTAAATTCAGTCAGCCGGTCAGTCAGTTACAATGTACGACTTGGCACATATATGCATCGGTCAAAGTTGCCACACCTCAATTAGCACAGCAAGATGAAAACCGGATTCATAGAAGCAGTTAACTCAATGGTGTAATATATAAAGGAAAGATTTTATGTAGGGATATAGTACAGAAAGAAAGAATTAGTTGGTAGAAAGAAAGATATGAAGCGATTTGAATCTCATAGTTTAAGGGAAGACGGGGTGTAAATACACCTAAACCATTATGATCTATTCTGAGCCATGTCATTTCAGCCAATTAGTCTGCATCTACTAACATGGCTCAGACTAGAAGTCAGAGACTTCAAGGACTGATGCCATGTTTTTGGTTTGGTCGCCCCTAACTTTCTTCCAACCATCCCCTACACTAGTCAACATTGTGCGTCGTGGTAATCAGTGTTCAGGCATACGCAACACGTGGCCCAACCATCTCAGTCGATGAAGATTCACAACCATCAATTCCCTAATACCCTACCATCTAACCTCGCTATTACTTACCCGATGATCCCAGATGAGAGTGTATATGAATTAAAAGGGAGGATGATGTGTAAATCTATTTTGATCATTCATGCAATAAACAAAACAAAAGGACATAATGTATATAAAAATAACTATATTGACCGGAAGAATTGTCTCTTAGTTGAATTCGTACCACTAGTTGTATAGAAGCATGACTGTAGTAAGGTTTTTCTTTTAGATAGCCGGTATTTAAAGAGATCCTGCCATCCCATAGCGTAAGGGAAGAGTTGCAAAGGTCCGCAGTTAAAAAAGCACGCCACATCTTGCTTTACGGACTTTTGATGTACGACACTTACACATTTGACAATACTCAAAAAAAGACCACATGCCAGCCAGTTAAAACGTAGAACCAGGCATATATATATGGATCGGTCTAAGTTTCCATACTTCATTAGAACAACAAGATGAGCACCAAATTCATAGTAGTTACTTCAATGGTGGTAATATATAAAAGAAAGACTGCGTATAAGAATATAATACAGGAAGCAAGTTTAATCTCACGGTTTAAGAGAAGATAAAGAGTGTATACACCTACGCCATTGTGATCGATTCTGATCCATGTCATCCAGTCTTCAACCATTGGTTACGATAGTCACGCAGACCACAACCATATGTGATCAACCTTAAAAAGTTGTCTCTCGAACTTTGTGACCACGCTCCTACGTCGTCAAGACCACCTGTAATTTATTATCCTTCCCAGGTATCACAAGAGGAAGAATCTTTCCATGGTGCAAGCAGTCTGTAAGCAATAATTGCCCTCATACCTCTAATAGCACTCGAAATTACTATGATATCTGAGATACAAACTCAGCAGAGAAATCATTAAAATAAACAAAATTATGAATTCTTACAATATATTGATTAGACTATATTGAGGATTTTCTGTATACCTGATTGGTGTTTAACCTTTTGGAATTTGTCCCGTAACAAAATAAGCGACAGAGGTTGTCATGGATATGGTCGCAGGGTTTAGTAACACTAATTACAGTGGCCGACCGTTGAATTCTACGGTTATTTATAACTAGCTTGTGCTAATAGTCTAGGTGATTTGGCATCGAGTGTAATATTCCGTGATGTTAGATGGTTGGAGGCAATCGACAGACAGCTATGGATTTACTAAAAAGACCTAAAATTATGTAGCCCCTTTCGTTTTGATCAATAAACGATGGCTCTGATGCATACGGAAGTTAATTGGAGCGTTTTCTTAGTTTATTTCACTAGTCTTGACTGCTATCTAATCCGTTGTTTTGGCTTTTAGATCGCGGATTCTATCAAGGTCATAACTATCGCGATATAAACAGAGACGTATTACGGAAATTTCGACTGCAGACATCAAGCCTTTGTCTGGCCTATCTATGATCCTTCGAGTGGGAGACTATCATTCAAGTGTCATGTATCAGCTGTCCAGTCTATCTAGTTTGCAAATATCCAGTCTTCATATTGGAAAGATCTTACAACCTTTTACACACGAATTTACTGTAAACTTATCTCAAAAGTTAATAGGAGCCGTACTTCATGCTGCTCGGAACTTATTACACCATTAAGGTATGTGTGAGATTCAAGACCAATTTACATGCTTTTCGCTGAAGAAGCCAGACTAGAACGTAATCTGATTATTTTTATTTTCGTGCTAACCGACTCCGACGAGATATGAGGAATATGTTTATCGTACTTCAAAATCCTTCTACTAGTTTACATTACAGAAAATAAAAAAATAGTGATGAATAACAAATATACCACTGAGTGCTGGTAATCATAAGAAATTAACAGTAAGTACTGAACTATATATATATAACATCTTGTAATACATGAAAGGCTTACAAATGAATTGGCGCGGTTCAAATTCATCGATCCCGTTGTTATTGTTGTTGTCATTGTAGTTGTAGTTTCAGATTTCTGTAAAGCATCTTTAATAACTGGAACCAGATCGATTAAGTCACGATCAGATGCACTTAAAGTAAGCTTAGATATAGACTCATTGGCAGGATTTAAGTTTTCTGAAAAAAAGAAAAGTCAAAAATAGTAGGAAAAAGGAAACATGAAATTTATAGTAAATTATTGTTAGTCATTCAGTTATAGACAACGTAGAACCTGACAAAAATATGCAACGCTTCATTTTTCTAAGATCTAGTACATAATGATGGGTAGATGCATTTACGCCATCACAATCGATTTTCATCCATGTAACACAATACACCTGCAAACATTGATCGCGGTTATTGTTCAGAAATGAAACATAGTCTGTACCTATCAACATGTATAACATCAGCGATTAATGATTTCATGGAATGAGGCTACATTTCCACTTGGCTGCTATTAATTTTTCCAACCTACTACTAAGCTAGTAGGTATCGTGTGTCGAGGTAGGGATTGTTAGGCAAACATAATATTTGTTCTGACCACTTTGGTCGATAAAAATTCACTAACTCATCACAGAAAGTGCCACCTTTGCTTAGTAATCTATGCCTAAAATCAATATTTCTCACTTATTCACTCAAAAATACGCAAGTAATACTTCAAAAAGACTTATGGTCAAAAAACTTTCACGTTTCACAAGCACAAATTAGAACAGGGTGGACTGCTGCACGGTATATAAGCCCTTCGGTTTGTGGACGAATATCTTGTCTATGTCACAAGTGACACAAATTGGCATAGGCCGTGACTTCTGAATCCATGACTAGATTTTGTCAAACAACAAATTACTAGGGCTAATCTGACTTCCGTCTTAAGTGAAGTCGTTAACATGTTCAACATAGGGGAGATGGTGCGGATCGACTCTAGCTACACAACTCAGGACAACAAAACAAGTGTATACAACGGCTTGACTTTAGTTGATGGATGCTACAATGAAGTGATGATCGAGAATGATTATGAAGATCCAGTAGAATTATATTAGCTGGAAAACTTGTTTCATAAGATCCTATTATCTTAGAAAGATGGGCCGCACTGCAGTAAGATTAAAAATAACAAGTCACGGGTTTGAGAAAAAACGTTAAATATTTTAGCAAAGATGCTCTTTCATGAGCAAAGTGATAGCAAAATTTGGCCTTATAAAATAATACCACTTTTGATGTCATGAATTTTCCATACTGAGACTAACAGGGAAAATAATCACCGACATAAAGAATGTGGGTTACCGGGCCTTCGAAGAAAAATCTTGGCTTTGTGATCGCTCTGCTAGGCTGATAGGGCCATTAGAACTTAACTTTGTCGGTAGTTCCCATGTAATAAATGTAAATACAATCAATCCCTTTAAACGAACGACCTGGTAAACACATACAGTGGTCTAAATTGTCATACAAGATCAGTAGTACAGCGCAATGACATTATTAAGATGACTAACAAAAGAGCCGACATAAGTAGTTGTACCAATGAATGTATAAAAAATTTATTCAGAAAGAAGGAAATCCAAGATTTCAGGTAACATAAGGAATAAGACTATCAATACATCATTATATAACAACTTTAACCATCAATAAAATGATAATCGTGCAGACCCCAACTAGGTAGGTTGTATAGGCTACACCAGGATTGACACGGTTATAAATAATAGCCACTGCCAGGGAAGTCCTACTCATTACCTTCTTGCGGCATTACTGTTATTTACGAAATTGAGGATGTAAAGCGAATGTCCGGCGCTTTAACCGGGTTGGTGGACACGGAGTCTATCTTGGAGAGTTGGACAACCTTGATTTTAAACCTGTGATGCACATGGGCTCCAGTATTTTGAAGCAACAAATGGCGTATGAACCAATTATTGGTCATCGGCTATCATGGGACTGCATCTCCTTACGTTGCTCTACTGTCTTGTGGATTAGACCTTTAGGTCGAAAGCTTGGGGTGTAGCCCTCTTAGAAAATCACCTGCTTAGGTTTTGGCATTCGGGCAGTATCACAGCCCACATATGTATTTGGTGACTCTTTGTACCAATATTTATGTGTTCAAATAAATAATAAAATAAATACCCAACAGTCAGTAGATTAACTTAGATTCCCGGTTGAGAGCCCTGAACGAGAAATTCCACGGAGTCCCACACTAGGGCGAAACAGCCATTCAGTGCATCTAGGTTTTAAATGGTGAATTAACTTGAATCAATTTCTAATATGAATAAAATAAATTAATAGTTCACAAGTAATGTCATTTTCAAGATACCCAACATCCGTTAGCCAGATATCATCAGCAACAGCCTACTGTGAGAGAGAACAAACCAGCTTCCAGTTGAATAGGAAATTAGGAAAAGATGATGGGAATGGATACGACATACATTACGCAAATCATCAAACTGCATCACAAAACAATCCCTAACTTGGAATCATGAAGGGAAGCGAAAAAGTGGAAGACCAAAGAACACATAACGTCGGGAAATAGATGCAGATATGAAAAGGATGAATAACAACTAGAAAGAAGAGCTGGAAACGACTACCCAGGACAGAGTTGAATGGAGAATGCTGATGCTCTTCCACGAGGGGAAACAGTAGTAAGTAAGTAAATGTCATTTTTATACTTCATTCCATGCAATGTGTTATTTCGTTTAAAAACTTTCAATCATATTTTATCCGATGTACACTAACAGTCATTTACAATGGATGAAAATCTTAGAAATAGAATGATTTTATTTGTATTTTGAAAGAAAACAGAACAAAACTTGTTACATTACAACTATCCTGTCCAAAATGTATACAACTTCTTTTTTATAACATACCAACATCATTAGCGACCGAACTAAAGTTGTGTGTGTGTGTGTGAGAGAGAGAGAGGAATATTGGAAATCTGAGAAGTTAGACATGACCATAATTCAGTCACGGTATGATCAAAATAAATAAATAATTATTTATTTATTTAAGAATTACGACAAACAAAATTAAAAATAAATAGAGCAAAATGTAACTGAATAAGTACTATACGGAAAAAAGAAATTGACCGGATTGGGAGAGATGGCGTAAAGAAATCCCTGTCTCCACACACACACACACACACACACACATAGATGAAAAGATACAAATAATATTCATTAGTTTTCAACTTCATTTAGTTGACAATTTGAGAAATAACTAGTAATACCACATTCAAATATAACTTTACCATAAAAGTCAAACTCAATATCTTACCAGAAAGATGTAACAGTATGATCAATTGACGCGAAAGAAAAACAACTGATTGAAGTCACCTCTACACATGAAAATCGCTTATGTGACATAAGCGAACACATACACACACACAGGATATGGGTTTCCTAGCCTCAGCTCCAAAAAGCAGGACACATCTATGTAAACAAAAGCCATGGTTTTAACCATCGATATACGTACATATTACTTAACCTTTCGCCTTGTTCTAATTACACCATTTTAAAGATAATCGAAGTTCAAATAGACACTTGGAAAAAGAGGGTTATATACACAATCAACAAATTTCTTCAACAACGAAATACAAATGGATTTCTTGAGTAAACTACAATAATGAGGAGATATATGTTGTTATTGTTAAATTATAGAATTTCCTCCAATCGTTACTTTAATTCTGTGTAACATAGATGAATCATTTATGGAAATTTTCTACCATTATTCTCGGATATATATACATAGAGAGAGAGAAGGATAAGATCATCAAATTCAATCAGGAAATATCTAAACTCATCCTATACGAGTGAATACATTAGGAACAATCAATAATATGGAAATAATCCAAAAACTTTGAGATTTAGTGAAATATTAAAAAGAAAAAGTGGATACATCTGAATTCAAAATCAGATCAATGGTTTGAAGAACAGTTGTACCTCAAATGTGTTCAGAAGAATATATGTAAGCTGTGAAGAGGTTACTTTCAGCGAACTTGAAAAAAACAACATTCAGGTCTTGTAACCAGTACAACATCATTTGACCACACTGAATGTGAATCCAATGGGCTTACCAATTCTCAATTTTAATTATGACATAGCAACTCACATGCAATTGAGTTTGTTCTCATTTAACTCAGTTAAGCCTTTTTACTAACTTACTAGCGGACAAAGTCTTCCGTACTATAACAACTTATTGTACCTTTATTATTGTTGTGCTTGTATGAAATATGTATGCTTGAACATTTGCTTACCGCCTACTCATATATTCATTCTGCTAGCTTTATTATTAACTGCTTAATTGATTCAATGACCCATTCATTCCCCTATATATATACATGTACATTTAACATTCTACGCTCACAGTTCGCTGACTCACTCATTCGCATCATTGATTTGTGGTCTGAGTCATTTGCTAATAAAACTGTAGTAGCTGCTTCCTCTTTGCCTTCTGATTTCCAACACCGTTGAAGATTATATGGTAACGCTTACGAGGGTGATTGGTCAACGAAGCACAGCCACTACAATCATTTGTCATCTTGGTGAGCAACATGGAGCGGTCGCTTAGTAGTTAAGACGTTCGACTTCCGACCACTAAATTCCAAGTTTGAGCTCTACTCCACCTAGTTTGGTTTGGAAGACTGGATAGTATCACCAGACCTTTTATTTAAACTTCGTGAAATCCTATCTCGACTTTCGTTACTTACCAAACCACTACGAGTTTTCTATGGCACTCTACGAAATACACCGTAAATCGATTAAAATGTCTTCATTGTATACCTCTTTTGATAATATAAGAAAAAATAACCAAAAAATAGCACAAAACTCACCACTTCTATATTGTTGAAGTTGTTCTATAGAAAAAGGCCCAAATACATCTACATATTCATCCGGTACTACATTAAATTTAAAACAAAAGGTGAAATACATAAAAAGTGGAATAGGATGAGAAATTATTATAAAACAGACTGTATAACAGACACTTAATTATCTACAATTGAATAATTACTGAGTAATGACCAATCTCATGCTCGCCGAGTCCTTTCCAGTACTGAATGAATTCTACCAATCGATTTGTAATGTGGTCACTGATCTAAGTGACTTGATAGTGTGTAGACTATGTTAAGACATTAACCGGTTGGAGGTAGTTGGTAGGAAACTCTGGACCTAGGAGACCATCTGTAGCCTGTATAGCTTGATGGTAGCGTCTCTGGTTGCGAAGAAGGGTTAGGGAAGTCCGGATTCTACATAAAGCATCGATTACGCTGATATGGCAAGTACAAATTGCTGACAAGTGTCAACTAGCACGAAACTTAAACCCATGGTTTTCTACAGACTGCCTCCAACCAATTAACATTTCAAACTGATCATCAATAGTAAAAGAAATATGGATACATAGCAAAAGTCCCGAATAATATTGAAGTATATACCAGGCAAACAACTCATGTTGGATATTAATAAATAGTACATATACAGTTCTGCTTTAGTAAGTCAGTTATAATCACCGTAGAGCATGAAATAAATATGCATCATCCCAAGTTCCTGCACCATATCAGTACGATAAGATAAATTCAAACAACATGAATACCGAGAAGTTGGAATTACCGTCGTATTGCCAGTGATAATGCGAAAGACTTTAAACAACGAAAAGCAACACGATCAAAATCGAAACATACAAGTAATCACATAAAAACATAACTTACACGTTGTAGCGATGTTAAACAAATAATCGAGTTACAATGTAGATTTTATCATATAGAGACTTTAGTTTTAAAAACGTATTGCAAAACGAAGTGCACTAAGCATTCGTTTCCGCGCAAGGGCAAGTACCCACGGTTGTATCATAAGACCGAACTGACGATCTGTGGGTTTCGCATTCAGTAGTAGTATACACTCATATACCTGATTTGAAACTTGATGGCACTTGTTAGCAAAGTGTGCCTGTAATCTTGAGAAAACTGATGCTTTCTGACGGATTCGACTGTGTCAACTAACGTCTATGGTTTTCTGTCGACTACCTCCAACCACCATCTCGTCTCAACATAGTGCACGCGATGTTGAGTCACCTAGACTAGTCGCCACATTGCAACTTGACGTGTATAATTCGATCTGTATTAAGGACTTAACACACATGATATTGGTTACCATTCAATGATTAGTCAATTGCAGAATGTATGTGTGCTAAATGGAAGAAAATATAAAAGTAAAATAAACCCTGGCACATGAAGGTAGTGGGTAGGTCTTCGCTGGCAGAAAGGCTATAAACGCGTAACCGTATGAAAACATTTCGATGGGACAAGCAGACACCCCTCGTCCTCGACAGCACCAAGGCACTTGGGAGAAAAATTACGCTTCCATGACTAAATCCCAGTCACATTATCTAATATTTCTCCACAGTTGAATTGATTATTTCGTTTAGAAAGTTTATAGTTTCTTATAAATGTATGATTGTTCAATGCACTGAATAAAAAGTTACTACTAACGATCTAGGTACAGTTTAGACTGGTATCGGAACAGACATTTCGTGTTTCAATGAAGAGAAACACAATCCAAATAGTCACAGATCGGTTTCATTGTGTTTTATAAGAAAATATTGTCAGCGTCTTAACTAGGATGAGTTCTGGAGGTTGGTGACGGCCTTTAAGTAGCAGATCAATTTCTGAAAAAATAGACGAAGAAACATTTACATGTAGGGCCATATTTACGACAAGGATCAAATAAAAACAGCAGGAAACAGATAATGATGAACGTTACTTTGTGCAATGAATTCTGATGAGTTTTTCAGAAGCCATCTAGATATCGGCAGTTCTTACTATAACAAAGTCACAATCTAAATTTACTGAGGAAGTACAGGCTTATATTTTGAACCCATTTGTGTTGAAACAGATATTACTCAGATGGCTAAACCAAGGCAAGTGTGAAACCCAAGAACTCTACCAACCAATAAACCACTTATTTTCATGTTACGGGATCATATACGAAAACTGTGTTGTAAAATATAATCCATCGAAAAATTTAAATAATCAGACTATACGTCTTGAACCAAAACACAACAAAATTTACTAAAAATCATTTCCAATATCTGATAATTAGTAAACTATAAACACAAACTGTCAATAAACACAGAACTACTACTAACCATTAGGAGCAATTCCTTCAGGATTGGCAGCAATCGATGGTGGAATAATGGTGTAACCTGCTTGAGCCAATGCCTTTAAAACCACAACAAGCGCTACTGAACTAGCTCTGAATCGAATATGCTGTGGTCGAACGCATAATTCATGATCACATGTATGAACCATGATGTTGGTGTCGGTACTTGACATTGGTAAACCATGATACAGCATACCAACAATTGTATCTAATCTCCAAACCTAATAATAGAAATACAATCTATTGATGCTCATATATAAATAACACAAATTATTAACAAATGAATACTTAAAACATGAAAATAATATTTATGCTTAAATCTTTAGAACTGAAATTAAACAACACTGATGTTACCTTTACCAGACTTTACTTTGATTTTCTTTATAGAAACAATCAGGATGAAAGGTTATCAAACATAAATAAGGTCATACAACAACTATGTACAAAATGACTGTTTAGTCATGTTCAGATATTAAACACAATTTCCTGTAATTTGATATGGAATCTTAAAAATACAATAAATAACCCTGAAAGGATGGAGAAGAATTTTATTTTAGGTGGATAGTTCTGGCGTTGTTGAGATTCATTAAGCTCGATACTTTTGTTGAATAGTTTCCATGATTGTTCTGCATAACTTTATCTGACCCTAGTTTATTTATTTGAACACAAATATTGGTACAGGTGGGCACCAACTATATATGCGCCACACAATAACAATGAGCCCAGTAGAAGTCATAATTGCTTTGTATGAGCTGTGAAACTGCCCGGATGCCAAAACCGAAACAAGTGATTTTCTAAGGGGGCTACATCCCAAGCATTCGACCTAAAGGTCTAATCCACAAAGTAGTGGAGCAACTTAAGGAGATGCAATCCCATGGTAGCCGATGACCAATAATTGGTTCATACACCATTCGTTCCTTTACGATACTGGAACCCATGTGCATCATAGGTTTGGAATCAAGGTTTTCCAACTCTCCAAGACTCCGTGTCCACCAACCCAGTTGAAGCAGACATTCGCTCCTCGTCCTCTTGAGTTCTTAGACAACACCCGCGCCACGAGGAGGCAATGGGTAGGACTTCCCTGACAGTGTATGTATACGCGTGCCCTTGTGAGAGAATTTCGAGAGGGAGAGCGGACTTTCCCTACACTCGGCCGCACCAGGGCATTTGATGGCATCTGCACCTAGTTCATTCAAGGAGTTTGCAAAATTTGACACGGCTCATTTTAGCAGTCAGTCAATGACTTCATCGACTGATGACCTACAAAACTCTGTCCTAAAATTGCTTAAAATTTAAATGGCCCTTTATCACGTTTATTCTCAGGTTTAGTATTTGGCATATGTGTCAATTTGTTAAAAAGAAACTTTTTGTTAGATAATTGTATTGTCTTTAGATCATATGTTCGTTTGAGGCCTGAATCAGTGTTTAGATCTTATGAGCATTGTATCGCCATGCACTCTTCATTGCCCCCAAATGCCCTGGTAACGTCGAGGATGAGGAGAGTCCACTCTGGCTCTCCAAATGCTCTAATTATGACCACGCGTATATACCCACTGACAGGAATGTCCAACTCACTCCATAAGAGGACGAAAAGAGGATATTCGACGACTAGACCGGGTAGGTGGGTACGGAGGATCCACCTATGGGAGTTGGAAAACTCTGACTCCAAATCAATGGTTCACATGCGCTCCACGATCCTGAGGGAACAAATTGTGTATGAACCTACTCCTGTTTACCATCTGTTTCGGTTTGAGGAAAAGTGCAGCATTCTAGCCCTCACACAAATTTTGTGTAGCGCATATGTATTTTTGAATGTCTTTGTACCAATGTTAGTGTTGAAATAAATAAATAAAAGTTTAAAAATCCCCATAGAATATTCAAAAATGAAGAATATTTGAGCGTCTTTGAAAAGATGTGAAGCTTTGAAAATGGGTATACTGACCCGTCCATGTACTCATTCTAAATATATCTCGGTTTATGGAACAGTCTATCCTTCTAGAAATATTCTTCACTTTTTAAATAAATAATAATTGAAGTACAGGATGGTCATTTCGTGCTAGTATGAGACTCCTCAGCAGTCCCCATTCACGATCCTGTATGCGGAACTCGAACCCAGGACCTTCGGTCACGCACGTGAATGCTTGACGTTACAACAATCTCCACAAACCGACATTCTGAAAATAATAAACGCCTCATTATCATCTAATTCTTCAATGTACTAAACGAAGGTGTTCATCACAAATGCGAGACATTTCACTACCATGGAATTTTGAGAAGTGAACTTCTTGATAACAGAATTTTACCAAGCAAAATAGTTGACACCAATTTGTTTTTAGCATAAATAATATATGCACGGGCTCTGTGAAGATAGGTGAATTTAATTTAAATGGCTAATCTATCTAGATTACCAAACCACAGGCTACCTGGAAGCACCAGATGAGTTTCCTCCTAGAATGAAATCTCATGCTGATAATCATCATGTGCTCCCCAGAAACTATCTTCGATAGGAAATTTTAAAGTTCTAGGGAGAAGCCTTGACTAGTGGAGTTTGAGGAAGGTACTCACAGAAGACAATGGAAGATGATGGCGCAATATCGTGGACAGATTAAAGTTAGACCTGTACACCATCAAATACCGACTCAGTGGTCTGAAGGTTAAGTGTTCTCGCACGAGACGGGAAGTCTTGAGTTTGACTCCCGATGCCAATCTCACGGACGTCAGTCAGTCAGCTACAACGTAGGACCAGGCACATATATGCATCGGTCCAGGTTGCCATACCTCATTAGCACAGCAAGATGAATCCGGTGTTCATCTTGCTGTGCACGGACGTACACTGCTGAGAATTTCTATACCAGGAAGAAACAGTTGTCTGGTTATGTTCTGCTATAAAATCACTTCGCCAACATCCTTGGGATAATCATGAGATAAAATTGAATCAAATTCTACAATGATTGAAAAACAAGACGCACAAAATCATCCTAGTAAACAGTAGAAACTGAGTTGCATCTAGTGAGTATAAACTTTAAATGATTAATAAGTAAATTAACTCATTCTCCAGGTACTTAGATATTAGTCACACTGTGTGAAAGATACTACTACCTAGTTGCGCAGACCGAAGTGGAGTGTGGTTCGAATCCGAAACTTAGTGGCTGAAAGTCGAACACCTTAGCCACTAAGACACTGTTCACATACAAATTGACATTTAAAATAGATATAAAACTTACTTTATCAGAACCTTTGCCACCATCAATGCGTCGCATACGGCCTTTAGCATCACCACGGCTTATAACACAAGAATGCGGATCATTTAAAGTATCCTCACTTCCAAGCCAACATTTAAGAAACCAAAATACTGAATCACTGGGCAACTCTTTATACAACTTTTTGAGCAGATTTGATACAGCATCAGTTTCACTTCCAGCATTCATTTCCTAAAAAGTGCATGCAATTGATGGAAGTTAAGCTATGTTTCGAATATTCTTCTAGTGATCAATGGAAAATATCCATTAAACCAAATATTCTTTGCTGAATGCAGATGTTGCTATGATATAGTGCTTGAAATTAACTATTGTCCCAATCAGACTAAGTTTTGACTGGAACAATCATTTTTCATGATCTTATAAAACTACACAGGTCAGTTGGATAGCAGTAGGACAGACGATTCTGTACTATATAAGACATAGTAATAAACCACCGAGTTATCATCACTGCCCGAGTAGTAGGAATACGTCAAAACAAATCAACTAAATAAGGACTTTCTTAAATCTTACGTGTTGTGTTCTAAACAGGCTATTTAGATTTATGAGGATGGTTTGAACGGGAGAAACCAATGCGTCATCTGAGTAGCTACGACTGATTTTGAAAATCATGTCAAAATCATCAATGATGACAGTATCAATTCAGCATTGCTTACATAATATATACTCACAGATGTAGAGGACAAAACAATGCTCCACTTTGATTATGGTAGTTACGTTCCCCAACCATTATTTACATTTTCTATATATATATATATATATATATATATATATATATATATATATATATATATATATATATATATATATTAAATGTCTAAGTCTGGCCCTTCATTGTTCATTCCCATTGGACTAACTACCAAATTATTATTCAAATACTACGTGAATGACCCAATTAACCCAGAAAAGGTCCTTTGTTTATAGATATTGAAGATAAACTTTTGACGCACTATTCAATGAAACAATCATAACGTCTTTTTAAATAAGTTTTGCTTTACTATCACATAATTCATCACACAGCACATTGTAGAGTTACATATAGGTATCATTAGGTCTTCGACAAGTGTCTAGTGTATTATGAAGCCAAATTTTTCTCATCAACCGGCTTCATCATCTTTACCAATTGGTAAAGTACATTATTTGCTTACTTACATTAACCCTCGTGGAGGAACATTGGATACTCACCAGCAGATAACGTACATACGAAAGAATTATTCATAAGTTTCTTAAAAGATAATTTAAGTGCTAGAAAAAGGATACACAGGAAACAGACTCATTGTGAAAGTGTTTTTCGTAGCAAACTTAAATAAACATGACTACAAAAAAAGTATTCTAGACCCTACTATAATAACTCAATTAGACTTTTGAGGTTGAAAGCCAACAGAACGCATTGTATGATGAACAGCTGTTTCACTCAGATCCAGAGGAATCTGAGGAGCTAATTTCCACACACTTTAGGTAAAAACGAAATGCCTTATATTGCGAGCCACTTAGGAATGATGGTTATAAAAATTTATGATCAGCACAGAAAAAATCGTGACCAAAAAGGTTGAAACTATTCATTACAAGGTTGAGTACATAAATGTATGTAGCCTAAAAGAATAGGGACGATAAGAATGGTGCCTTTCAGGCCCAGCAGTAAAAGTAGACTACAATATAAAAGGGAACCCTTAATTATGTAACAAAGACTCGTTAATAATTCCAGAAACAATACGTAAATGAACCTCATATATCACCTGTTGGTAAAAAAAGCATCTGCACGTGCAAATAGCAAACGCTCACCCCGATTTTTAATGCTATGAGACTCCAATCACTTTGGCTCTGGCCACTGTTACATGCCATGCGGCGGTTTTCTTCCCGATTGCGTTCACGCATTGATGAAACACCCCGAAACCACAAAGGAGCAATACGCTTGCAACGTCCAATTAAGGCCCGAACAAACAATGCTTCACTAGGCTTGGCAGCCGCATGTACAGGGAATTTATGTGAGCATTCGCTTGGGAGATTCGGGACCTGAAATTCTGAATTGAGGGAGGGTAGAGATGATTGCGCGGAAAAAACATTTGATGACTCTTCGGCACAATGGACAGATAAAGGCTTTGTGTTTGAGTCCGTAGAACTAGAAAGTGAATTGTGATTGCTTTTATCTGATTCTGAATAAAATTCAGCTTTTGTTTGGGATGACAAACATACTGTTGTCGAAGTATCCAATTTATCGGAATCATTGAGCGGAAAACCAACTGAAGGTATACGAATCGAGCTTGAGTTTGGAAAGGAATCATCTTGGAGAACAGTACATGAAGGACTCAACTGATTATTACCGGGATTGTGAACAGAAAGAGGATATAACACTCCAGTGGACAGATTACTAAACAATGGTTCAGGTTTCACATTTATATTATTAGGCTCCATGCAGTTTATAAATTATAAATCCCATCCATGCCAGCAGTATGACCACTAAAACATCAACGTGAAGACCGGGCCCGAAAAACGTTGGTTCAAAATTGCACACAGCCTAAGGTTTCATACGCGCTCTCTACCACTAAAACCTCTGTTGTTTAAAATACTTTTACTTACGCTAAAAATCTGTAATTATACTAAAACCTTATATTAAAATCCTGTCTCCTTCGGTTAAATAATAATGTACTAAGTTGTGCTTTCCCGCGGTGTATTCAGATATACACGCAACGTTACTTAGAGTATGGATTCACTCAAAGTACAATTTCCTAACAATCCTACAGATGTACACGGGGAATGTAGAAACCATACTATGACCCCAATATGCACAGGGACATCTGTTATTGGGATTAAATATAGAGGTGGAGTTGTTCTAGCTGCTGATACGTTAGTTTCATATGGCTCCCTAGCCAAATATATGGATTTCGAACGCATGTTTAAGGTAAGCAAGGTTTTTTTCTCCAAAACTAACTTCACTAGGTAAATCAGAGCACAGTTATGTGCTGCAGTGGTGATATGGCCGACTTCCAATTTCTCAAACATCACATTGAAGAGTTGACACATCAAGACAGTCTACTTTCCGACGGCTTTAGACTGAGGTTTGTATCTTGACTTATTTATTATTTTTGCTTTCAGCCCTCATGCTCTCCATAGCTGGATTACACGTGTCCTATATAACCGTCGAAGTCGTTTGCAGCCACTCTGGAACACCTATTTGGTCGGAGGTTTGGAAGCAAATGGCGAGCCCTTCATTGGGTATTGTAGTATGCTTGGTGTTTGTGAGTCACGTTCCATATAAGCATAGTTTAATTTTGAACTATTTGAGTATTTCGATTTTTTTTCCACTCCAACGCCCTATCTATCTTTCCTGTCCCAACAATGGATGTGACATCACATCCACCAAATTGCCACAGTAAATAAGGCCGACCGTAATACTATTTGATCAGAAATGTAAAACTGGTAAGGCACTGCCTTAGGAAATCCAACACACCATGCTATCCTTTCGTTCAATCAATGAGAGGCTAGGATAGAATAATCGCAAAGACACTGGATTTCACCTTTAGTGAGACCATCATTTTTAAATGACTTGAGTAAGCCCAGTTGTCACTCAAATATCTCTTAAACTCCTAACTTGTTCAGCCTTAAGTCTTGATTAATCTACAATGTTCTACGTCCTAAGCAGCCTGGTAATGTTATTATCCTGCACACCTAATAACACCAATGTTCTGTGGTAAAGTATGTATTCAATGCTCAGTTCAGGGCAAACTAGCCTCCTAATAGTCGTCTTAACGCCTCACAAGTAGCGTCCATGTAGGCCTGTTCTTGCATATGCTCCCGGACTTTTTACACATATATAGAACGAATATCGTATATGTCCTGAATATCAGACATTTTTGGGTTACTTACTGTGTCACAACTTTCAAACTGAATAGCATAAAGACATATTATAACGACAGTTATCAACAGTTGTAGCTTGTCGAAAATTATATCTTGTCCCTAGTATAACAAGTATTTGATACTAATGACCTGTCACGTTTAATTCACTGGACTCATAATATTTGTATTGGTCAATATTTACAGTTACGTCAAAAGCCCTTAGTAACATTCTCATTACTCTGATTCTCAGTCTCCTATACCTTACTATTTTAATCAACCTTTATCATCCTTGTAGCATTCACCGAAAATTATGTTGCGACTGGCTTCGGTGCATACCTTGCAATGCCTATTCTAAGAGAATGTTTGGAAATAAAAGCAGGTGGTGATCCAAACAATATAACGGAAGAAGATGCTATCTCAACAATAACGAGTGCAATGAAGCAATTATACTTTCGAGATTGCCGGTAAATATCTCATGTTTTTTTCAGATTATTTCAATTTCATTTAAGTCAAATTAATTTTTGAAATGTATTATTTAGTAAGTAAGGAATTTCTAATATGCAAGATGGTAGCTAGAAGCTAATTCCTAATCAACCACCGATTCACAGGTTCTTAATATTGTGACAAAAACTACACTTTCTTTTGGGCATTTACTAGGGTATCGGTGAACATAATTAACTGATTAGACTCTAATAAGTGATTTTACAGGACTGGTAGAGGGTTGTACCCACACTCACTATTAATCAATCAGTTATGCTCAACATAAAAGCTAGCACCTTTACATTAGTTAAAGTTTCCATACTCTGTTACAACAACGAGATGAAATTTCCAAGGCAAATCCCAGAATAGTAGAATCACTAACAGTATTTGTGATGCTATAAAAGACTAGTCTCCAATGAATTGCTGACATTCAGTGGCAAAACCATTTTAGTAATGCAGAGGTACGGCAGCTTGTGTCTAGACACGTAGACGGTGGTTCAATTAGTGTCATCATCTTGAAGCACCAACGTTGGTGACCTGAACATGAACTACGAATATCACCCCAATGAATTTCACATAGTGCATTATTTGTCAACGTTAGAACTGGTTGGGAAAAGCTGAAAGGTAATCAGTCAGTCAGTCAGTAACAACGTAGAACTTCGTACGTACATCAGTTCGAGTTGCCACACCACCTTAACACAGAGATGCAGTTGTCGATTCAAATCCCGTAGTGGTAGAGGTAGCAAGAGTGTAAGCAGTGATCGGGAAGATTAGGGTTTGGAGATGTTATTTAAAGAGTATAATTCAGTGAAATAAATTTGGAAAGAGGAAAAAAGGGACATGAAGAATTCAGAAGATTAGAACTTGGGAGAACACAAAGAGTGGATGCACCTGCACCATTGCAAACGATTTTGAGCCATGTCATTCAGGGTCTCTAACCATCGGTTGCTATCATCTCGCGGTCCCCAACCAGGTAGTCTATACCTATCAACATGACTCAGACCACTTGTCACTGACTTCATGGACTTGTGCCATGTTTTGGTCTGGCCGCCCCTAGCTTTCTTCCAATCTACTCCTATACCACTGAACATCGCACGTCGAGGCAGTCGGTCGTTGGGCATACGTAACACGTGTCCCAGCCATCAATTGATTTGCCATCCTTACCTAGTACCCATTTCCTAACAACTGTGTTACTTGATGGTCCCATGATATACGAGCAATGTTTCGAAGACACATATGATCGAATACTAGTAACCTACGAATATCCTCTACTCTTACCGGCCATGTTTCACTTCCATAAAGTAGGACGGGACGTACTGCTGCACAGTAAACACGTCCTTTGGTTGATAGACGGATATCTCGCCTACGCCATAAATGACGCAAGTTCGCAAAAGCTAGTCGAGCCTTCTGTATCCGTGCTGAGATTTCGTCACATACCAGACCACAAGGGCTGATGAGACTTCCAAGATAAGTGAAGCGGTCGACACTCAACTACTTCACTCCCTATCACTAGTTCGGGTGTCGATGTAACCTAATCCTGAAGCAACATTTTGCATTTCGAGGGAGAGAATCGCATCCCGAACATGCTTGCATTGTTGCTCAGAGTGGTCAGAAGACTCTGCATTTTGTCAGCGTCTTCGCCAAATAAAACTATGTCATCAGCATATTCTAAGTCAACAAGTGAACCTCTCGGTAGAAGTTCAACCCCTGGAAATTTAGATGAGGAGAGTGTCATCTCTAAAAGGTAATCAGTTTATGACATAGTGCCATAGTATAATAGAACATTGTACAGGACTGACATCTGTCGGATCTGTGGTCCAAGGAGTGGTGCAACTCAGTGGTTTGAAGCATTATCAGATATGACTCGGAGTTAGAACTTTCTTTCTGAAAGGATTCGCTTGGGTTGTATTTTACTCAGCCTCTTTCCTTTATCTCCTTACAACCTCATTTTCTTGTTTGCACAGTGCACATTTTATTTTGGTGTTTATTTGTACTAATATATCAGTTTTAAATAAGCAAATAAACAGTCTACCAAGCTGAAGATTGTTCTACTCTTAACAAAGTAGTATAATTAATACTGGGGCATTAACCCCTTTCTTTCAGTAATTAAAAGTGACGTTAGTCCATGAAGTCATTAACAATTGAACTGACACCCATACTGATGAGTATGGACTACCTGGTTGGGGTCCGCGTGATTATTGTAACCAAATTTGTGACTTTGGATGAATTAGCTCAAAAACGTTAAAAGCAGCACAGGCGCATTCACTCTTTATCGTCTATTAGAAACTGATTTTCTGACGTTCTGTCACCATACTTAATCTCTTCTATTTCTACTGATACTGTTACAACTTCTACCCTTCCGGGAGTTTTTGCCGTGCTAATGTAGCAGTATTACGACCTGAACTGATGGTCATACATAACAGGTTTTACGTTGCTTATGTAAAAAGTCTAATATTGTTCACATATAATTTGACTATCGTGTCAGTGTTTAATTTTTCGTATTTCTTTCTTGGAAATTAACAGTGCATTCGATACGTATCAAATGGCTGTCGTCAATAAAGAAGGAATACAAATAAGTGGCCCATTACGCCTGAAATGTGATTGGTCTATTGCTGAATATGTAAAGGGATATGATTAAAAGACATTTTGTTTTAAAGTTTCTTTTTATGGGAAATAAATTTTTTGATTAAAAAAAATATTTTTCAGCCGATAACTTTTGTTTTACAACTTACATCAATCCGTATTTGATGTTATTATTATTATTGTTAAGAATTTTTAAGTGTTCGACATATTACTTACTTACGCCTGTTTCTCCTAATGGAGCATAGGCCACCGACTAGCATTCCCCAACCCACTCTATCCTGGGAATTCCTTTCTAATTCTAACCAATTGTTGTTCATTCGTCTCATGTCTGTCTCCATTTCTCGACGTAATGTGTTTTTTGTTCTTTCTTCCCTCCTTTGGCTTTAAGGAGTTGTTCGGATGTATGAACTTATGAATAATTGGTCAGTCAGTCAGCTACAACGTAGGACCAGGCAGATATATGGATCGGTCCAAGTTGCCATACCTCATTAACACAACAAGATGAATACCGGATTCATAGAAGTAGTTAATTCAGTGTTGGTAATATATAAAAGGAAGATTGCATATAAGGATATAGTACAGGATAAAAGTCTTAGTTCGTAGAAATAAAGGTTTGAAGGATTTTAATCTCATAGTTTAAGGGGATACAGAGAGTGTATACACCTACGCCATTGTGATCGATTTTGAGTCATATCGCCATGAATCTCCAATCATTGGTTACGATAGTCGCGCGGACCCCAACCAAGTAGTCTGCATCTACTAACATGGTTCAGAAATTACCGAAGTTAGTGACATCAAGGACTGATGCCACGTTTTTTGGCTGCCCCTAATTCTCTTCCAACCATCTCTAACACCCGTTAGCATTGCACGACGTGGTAATCGGTATTCAGGCATACGTAACACGTGGCCCAACCATCTCAGTCGATGATGATTAACAACCTCATCAACTGATTTACCATCATTCTCTAATACCCTTCGTCTAACCTCACTATTACTTACCCTGTGATCCCAACAGACGCCAGCAATATTTCTAAGGCATCTGTGGTCAAATACTAGTATCTTACGGGTGTCTTCTACTCTTAAAGGCCATATTTCGCTGCCGTAAAGTAAGACAGAACGGACCGCCGCACAGTATACTCGTCCTTTTATTGATAGACGGATATCTCGCCTTCGCCATAAGTGACGTAAGTTGGCAAAAGCCAAGCGAGCTTTTCGGATCCGTGCTGAGATTTCGTCAGACACCAACCCATTGGGCTGGTCAGACTTCCACAAGTGATGTTGTCAACGCGTTCAATTACTTCACTCCCTATCCTTAGTTCAGCTGTTGACGCAAACTAGTCCTAAAGCAACAACTTGCATTTAGAGGGGGAGAAACGCATCCCAAACATCCTGGCATTGTTGCTTAGTGCTATCAAAAAACTCTGCATTTTATCAGCGTCTTCACTAAGCAGGACTATATCATATGTGTATTCTAATTGACCTTCTGGTAGGAGACCAATGCCTGAGAATTCAGTCGACGAGAATGTTATTGCCATCAGTAGATCTATGATGAAGTTAAACAAAAAATGGAGGAAGTGGACAGCCTTGACGGTTACTACTTGAGGTTTAAAAAGCAGATGACAGTTCGCCATAAACTCTGACTCGACTAGTAGTGTTCGAGTTAATAGCCTTCGTAAGGTTTATGTACTTCTGAGGTAGGCCTTTCAATGACAGACACTGCCACTGAATAATTGGTGACCTTAATAACTATACTTATCATCAACCGTTATATAATTTTAGAATTATCTATTTTGTTTCGAATTCTTACCATTATTAAATAAGTCTTAGTTTACTCATTTTATCGATAATTAAAAAACCTGAGATTAAAAATATTCATATGAACAGCTAGTCACAGTGTAGTGAACGAGAACACGGGTGGGGACAATCGAATGTATTTAACACAACAATTACAGACTATCTCAATAAAATCCGAATACCATATAGTAAATCGTCAATTTGCAAAATATTCATGCATTAAATCAAACCGGACCGTTTCTATCACAAACACCAATCCATTGTCTCCCATTCCATTGTTCATGCGTTTTCTTACAAATTCCATTTGTGTTTTCGCTCTTCTTTTCTTGATCTTCGCAATCTTCTGATGCCAGACATAACGTTTTAACTCGCGTCATATACTACTCATATCAATATAAGTAGCTCACACCACAACAGCACAAAATGTAACATATTTTAGTTATAATCTGAATTCCTTAGTCTTATATTTGTTTATAAGATTACTCAACTCCAGTAAATATTCTAATGAGACTATCATTTATGAATAATCTTTGAATGATTTCAAATTTACCTTTAACCATATTTTAGGTAGAAACAAGATTATGACTTAGGATGAGGCATTCGGATTAAGAGTTATAGTTTTCATCATGAATTGACGTCACTTATAATTGTCAAGATGTTATATGATCATGTGAGTAAATGAATTTTACATAAGAACTCTAAGGTTACTGGTTTAGTCTTGAAGCTTTAATTCTCCTTATGGACAACATTATCAATACATGTTTCAAAATGAACTGTTTAATCTCTTGTAATAAAGTTTTCATAAGAAGGATATAGTTTATGTAGATATGTCATTGGAATAAACAATCATAGTGGTATGGAGAAAGCGTTTGCTTGTATTGTGAATAAACTTCTATTGGTGGTAATGAATCGAATAGTATTTCGCGATGTTACAGTCTAGTCAACTGATAACTATTTAAAAGACCGAAGCAGTAACGTAAATCACCACATGACTCTATTGATTTTAGAATATTGGGGTGATGTGCCTACAAATAGGACTAAGACCCAATTGTCGGACTAACAAAAGCCGACTTTGGTCATCGTAAGTGTACTAGACTATACTTCACTGTCATTCCATAGGACTAAAGCTTTCTAGTTTTCAGTTTGTATCTGGTCTACATGAGCTACGTCTAACCAAAAGATGAACTTACGCTTTTTATTGGTAGTCCGTTATTTAATTACTTTGGTTACCATTGAACAATTTACAACCGAGTCTAGTTATCCGGATTTCATTCGAAGTGCATTTAGGCAATCCTCTCAGCATCGATTATCTTATGTGCAATATTGTTTCTACATAATTTAGAATGATATAATTACATTGTAGTTAGACTACTTAGTACGCGAATTTAGATAGTATAGTTCGTAGAAAGCAAATCTAATTTATTGATCAGATCAACAGTTTTAGAGATAAAGCTTGTGATAATCTGCAATGCGATTTCTACAGAATATTATGCCACAGATAATCAATGACAATTTCTCTTATCCATCCGTCATACAGCGGTAACTCGCCAACCAAGTTCTTATAAACCAGACATGTAAAATTAGATGCTGCTAAGTCACCGCTGAGGTCGATAGAGCTGTCAGGACGGCATGAGTATTGGGAAAGTTGAACTTTCGGAACTCCCATATCTGAAGTGGCAGATTGGTTGACGAGGTACTGAAGCTCTATCAAGTGAGGTGTTACGTTTGCTCAAGTAACACCTGTCTTGACGGACGATGTGTGGTGTGAGAGTAGGTTGGAAGAAAGCCGACAGCCAGACTTACACGTGACACTAGTCTATGAAGTCACTAACAGTCGAACTGAGTTATCTTGGTAGATGTAGACTACTTAGTTGTGGTCCGCACGACTTTCGTATTGGTTTGAGATTGAATGAAATGACTCGAAATCGCTTGCAGTGACGAAGGTGCATGCACTTTTCTGTGATGCATAAACTATTGTTTAGTTTTATCTTTCTTAATTAACTACAAATATACTACGGACCAATTACTCAATCCTCTCCCGTTTATGCTATGCCATTATTGTAATCTCTTAACTTCGTTTATGTGGTCAAGACTTTACTATATATTTTTGTGTGCTTCGAGTCATGATTGCATTGAAGACGATGGAAGCTGGTCGCTGACTTCTCTTTCGACTCAAGGGATGGTGGAAAGTTTGAGGATGGAGGGCCAATAAGAGTTTAGCTTGCGTCGACTTAAGGTTAACGGTGTAGGTCTGACGTATAAATGGTCGTCTAGGAGACTAGGCTACAGACAGAATAGTAGAATAGAAAGACATAGTCAGAATCGACTAATAACTTGAGTACGACTTATAATACAGTGATAGGAAGTTGATTGTTTATATCAGTCACAGAATATATCAAGCAGTTATACTATCTGAGACATTAGCATACATTTAACCGGAAAACTAAAGTAACTTCTCCCAGACATGAATACCAAAGATCGATGAGATGGATAAAAGAAAACCAGTTTGACTAGTAAATAGAGTTTTAAAGTCGTTGACTCATGTATAGAATGACAGTGATAATTCAATGAGGGATAAAAAGTGAATAACCTAAGAATAACATGGTAGTGGACTGTAGGGTTACAATGTACTCAAAGCGTTTTCCGTGACGAAAATAATAACCGGATTCTAACTGAAGTTTGTGCTGATGATGTTGTTCAGAAGAACAATGAAATCTCCACGACCCAACCATCCAGCTCAGAGAACAAAACTCCACCTATAACGACCAAAAATTTCAGTAAGCTTGACTATGCATGTATATATATATGTATTTATACAGAGGTTATTTGTACAATGAAATATGCAAAAAGAAACCATAATGGTGAAGATAATCTATGGTGTTTCAGCTCCACTCCCACCATTCTCATCATCTGTATCTACACAGCTGGACTGACTCTCTTCACTTAATCTTTCCCAATAATCAGACGGTACTTCAAATGCTAATTCTGATTTTTGTGAAGTAGTATTCCCTCCTCTGGATTCAATATTATCATCACAGGCATTATTATTAATGCTAGCTTGAGTATCGGTCTCTTCATCGGATGAAGAACTATCACCTCCAAGATATTCATCCCAACTTTGTAATCGACTAGCTTCTTTATCTTTAGATTCACATATTGAATAATTAGTTTTACCATCCCAACGTTCCGCTTCTAATTGTCTAGCTCCTCCAGTACCAGGATAATCAACAAATAATGCCTTAGATAGAAATTTGATTCCTGTATCTGCTTCTTCTGGTGTAGAAAATGTTACACTGACGACGCCTTCTGGATGAGCCTAATTATTTAGAACAAGAGAAGAAAATGAAAAAATTCATTCAGTGGACAAAAATTGTATCATACCAAGAGTACAGATAGTCAGTAACTTAGAATAAATGATCACCAGTGATCATTCTACATTTATGTGATACTGTTGTCATCTAAGAACAGTAGGAATATTAAATAGACAAATACAATCTACAAATTGAACCAATCTCCACAAACCTATTACCCCCGACTAAACTAAAATAATCGGCTTACTAGTAATTTGGTTCAATGTATTCCAGAAGTGGTTGGTGAAGCTCAGAACTGTTTGGAATGAAACATTCGTAACTAAAAGCATTATATTGCAAAGTGACTAAAGCTGAAATTGGATACCGACCTAGTGGTTAGGAGCTTGTCACGAGACCTGAAGGGGTTCCTACGGTACGACACCTGATGGGTTTCGATGAATCCCACACTAGAACGAAAGAGCTCTTCAATGCTTCTTAATTTTTAATGGCGCTACAACTGAGATTAATCGGTGATGAATACAACTAAAAAGTTAAACCAGACTAGACAAAACCCCTACACCTACAATATCAAAGATTATCTTCATTATGTTACCTATATTGAAAGAGATCATACTACAAAGGGTTTCCATTATCACAGAAGTGGATTATACATTAAAATATCTAAACACTAACCAAATAAAGGAAACATGGAATTCCAAAGCTTAGAATTTGGGCGAAGACAAAGAGTGGATGCACCTGCACTATTGTAGACGACTTTGAGCCATGTCATTCATAGTCTCTAACCATCGGTCACGATAATCACGCGGACCCTATCAAGTAGTCTACACCTATTAATATGGCTTGGTCCAACTGTTAATGACTTAATGGACCAATGCAATGTTTTGGTTTGACTGTCACTAGCTTTCTTCCAGCCTACTCCTACATCAGATAACATCGCCCATGGAGGTAGTTGTTGGTTGGGCACATGTAATACATGCCCCAACTACCTCAGTTTCTACCTTATCAATCTTTGTCAACCTAACTCAGTACCCTATTCCTAACCCAGGCATTGCTTACTCAGTGGTCTCAAAATAAACGAACAACGCTTTGAAGACGTCTATGATCAAATACTAATAGCCTGAGAATATCCTCTACTCTTATTGATGATGCTTTAAATCCACCAAGCAAAATGGAGCAAATTGTTGAGCGGTAAACTAGTCTTTTTGTTGCCAGATAGATAGCTCTTCTATGCTATAACTGACCAAGTTGACAGAAGCTAGTCGAACCTTCTAAATCCGTTCCGAGATCTCGTCAATAACCGAACCCCCTAAACCGATGAGACTTTCAAGACAGGTAAAGCGGTCGGCACGCTTAACTAATTCACTCCTAACACTAATCTAGACGCTGACGCAGGTCGATTCTTAAGCAACATTTTTAATTTTGAGGGTGAGAATCGCATTTCAAACATGCAATATTACTCAATGTGGTGAGAAGACTCTGAATTTTGTCAGCGTCTTTACCAAACAAGTAAATCTCCTGGTAAAAAAAATCAATCAGTCAGAAAACATTTTTATGATATAGTTCAATAAAAATTTGGAAAATGAACAACTAACACCGATCAAATCTTCCTCCCTTTTATTGAAGATAACCATATATGATATGGTGCTAAAAATCAAAGATCAACTTATACTAAACAATAGGCAGTGTTTTCTTCTTCAACAACAAAAAAACAAAAAAAAAACAACACATAGTTGAAGTAATAACTTACATCATGAACCACAATCTTTTTGATAACACCACATTTGGCACATTGTACACGTAAACGTTCTTTTACAATTGGAATTAAAGTAACATCATGCTGTTATAAGAAAAGATCAGTAAAACAACATATACTCCAATATTAATTTATGTACTATAGTGTAAAGAAAATAAATTCATAAAACTGGAATGATTGTCATATTATTCCGGGGACGTACGTACTAGTCCGAGCAAAGTTAAGCACGACAATAAATACTCCAATATCAAAGTTTAAAGGTAAGTTATATGTAAGAGTGTACTAGTAACCGATCTTACGTGTTTTCGAATTATTGCTCGGATAATTTGCGATCATCCAATTAGTGATTTTGAGGTTGGATAAAAAGTACTAGGTAAGTATGACAAGTCGAGTGAAGAGGTAATGAATCATTTTCGACTTGGTTAGGATAATCTGGAAGTGCAAGGATGGTGTAGGAGTGAGTTGAGAGAAAACAAGGGGTCTCCAAACCAAGACATGGGTATTAGTCTGTGAAGACAGTGAGTATTGAACTGGATAATATAAGTAAATGCAGGCTACCTGTTGTGATCCGCATGATTATCATAACTAATAGTGACATGATTCCAAATCGTTCAAAATCTCACTGGTGTATTCACTTTTAATCATCACTTAGATCCTAAGTTTCCAAATTACCTTACAAGTTTTCTTTTGTTTCGCAAACTTATATTTTCTTAAATCATAACTTTCATGCCAAATCTTTTCTATTGCCACTAGTATACTATTACAACCTCTACTATTCTGTGATTTGCCGTGGTAACTTGAGCCGATGACTTAATGTACCAGGTTCTACGTTGTATTTGAATGACAGAAGAATGATTTTCGCCAATTCGAAAACTTGTCACAGTACGTTACTTACCCATGATTCCACAAAATTGATATTGTGAATTCAAGTCAACGATGATTATCCCATTTTCGAATCAATGGAATACATCTGTCAGTCATTCAGTAACAACGTAGTAATTCGTACGTACGTAAATCACTTCGAGTTGCCATACCACATTAGCACACAGATACAATTGTCGATTCAAATCCCGTAGTGGTAGAGGTAGTAAAAGTATAAGTAGTACTCGAAAAGAGTAGGGCTTGAAGATGTTATTCAAGGAGTATAATACAGTGAAATAAATTTAGAAAGAGAAAGAAAGGAACATGAAGAATCGAGAAGATTAGAATTCGGGAGAACACAAAGAGTGGATGCACTTGAGCCATTGAAAACGATTTCGAACCATGTCATTCAAGGTCTCTAACCATCGGTTGCTATCGTCTCGCGGATCCCAATCAGGTAGTCTACACTTACCAACATGACTTAGTCCAGCTGTCGGTGACTTCATAGATTTGTGCCATGTTTTGGTCTAGCCGCCCCTAGTTTTCTTCCAATCTACTCCTTTACCATAAAACATCGCACACTGGGGCAGTTGGTGGTTGTGTCTACGTAACACGTGTCCCAGCCATCTCAACTGATCAAGTTTTACTAATTCATCAACTGATTTGCCATCCTTACCTAGTAACCGTTTCCTAACAACTGCATTACTTACTCAGCGGTCCCAAGATATACGAGCAATATTTTGAAAACACCTCTGATCAAATACTAGTAACCTACGAATATCCTCTACTCTTATCATCCATGTTTCACTGTCATAAAACAGGATGGAACGAATTGCTGCGACAAAAAAAGGTGACTTGTTAATACACCATTAACTTTGTTACAAATGACCATTTTATATTAACAATTATTGTAATTATTTAAATCTGTGAAAATTTCCAAAAATCTCCACAAAACCCATTCTGATAATAATAATCACCTGCTCACTAGTGACTGACTTCAAGAGATACTCCTGGAGTTCTAGTGGGAAGCCGTCACCAGTGGAGTTCAACCAGGTCTGTTGTGAGATGACAACTCACTGAAGACAATGGTATATGGTGGCGCAACTTCGTGGATTGGTTGAAGTTAGACATTAACACCGTTGAATGCCGGCTCAGTGGTCTAATGGTTAAGTGCTCGTGCGTGAAGCCAGTAGGTTCTGGGTTCAAGCCCCGCGTGGTGCGGGATCGTGGATGCGCACCGCCACTGAGGAGTCCCATACTAGAATGAAACGGCCGTCCAGTACTTCCAGGATCTCCATAGTGGTCTAGCTTCAACTAACTCATGATTTCAATCTGTAAAAATTTCTAAAAAAATCTCCACAAACCCCTTTTGATAATTATTATATAAACAAAATTTATCAATAAAAGATAAGTAATTTTAAAAAGAAATAAAAATAAAAATATAATTACTTGAAAATCTAATTCATTAAATGCATTTTTAAGAATAATCACACGTTCTTTTTTACCACGTATAAATTTACTTGTATCAATACTCCATCGAAATAAACTAATAATGATAAATTAAAAGAAAGAAATTATTTAAATATACAATTTGAATAATAATAAGAATTATTCAATTTAATTTATTAACAAATAGATGAATTGAATTCAATGTAATTCAATAATCAAGTACATAATGTTGTAAACTTAAGTTTCAGTTATAATTCTATATTTGAACTCCGCCTGGAGTCCCTACGAGGGCTGCTGCCGGTCCCAAGCCCGGATAAAGGAGGAGGGTTGGGCATGGGGTTAGCGTCCCCATCCCGTAGAAAACTAACTCTCTAAAAAAACGCTAACCAGAAATAATTATTCAAACCTATTGGTACAGTAGTGAATGATTTTATTGTTGAATGCAAAATTACAATTGATGAACACAATGGATCTGATGTAGATGTGAAAGCGTGGATCGGCAGAGCAAGAGTAGCATATTTACAACTGAAGAACATCTGGAACTCAAAACAACTGTCTGTCAACCAACACCAAATTCAGAATTTTCAATACAAATGTCAAGGCAGTTCTACTGTATAGGGCGGAAACTTGGAGAACTACGAAAACCATCATCCACAAGATACAAATGTTTATTAACAGTTCTCTACGCAAAATACTTCGGATCCGTTGACCAGACACTATCAGCAACAACCTACTGTGGGAGAGAACAAACCAGATCCCAGTTGAGGAGGAAACCAGGATGAAGCACTGGAAGTGGATAGGACACACATTGAGGAAAGCATCCAACCGCACCACGAGCCCCCATATGGAATCCCCAAGGCCAAAGGAGGAGATGAAGATCAAATAATACAATACACCGAGAAATCGAGACATGAGATGGATGAACAAAAATTGGATAGAACTAGAAAGGAACGCGCAGGACAGAGTGGGTTGGAGAATGCTGGTCAGCGGCTTATACTCTATTGGGAGCAACAGACGTAAGTAAGTAAGCAAAATTAGTGTCTTCTTAAGATATAGAAATCATACATTAAATGTGTCATTTGCACATTTTCCTTGAGTTGTCCTTTACAAGCTTCATGATTCTTCCACTTCTGTTGTTATTACAATTGTTCTTTATTTTCCTTCATGTTCTCTTCATTTCAATCTTCTGCTGCCAGGCATTTCACCTCTCAATGGTGTTACATCCTACTTATATCTGTTAACATAAGTAGCATACACCACAGTAAAATTACTATTACTAATGGACTTCCAACTTGGACAAAATTGTAGGGCACTTGGGTCACAAAACTACCTCTCCAAGGAGAATATACATGAAGCGAAATGTAAGCATGTAGCATACAACTTCGTTGAGTCCTGGCATAAAACTATAGAAACATATGCATTAACCCACTAGATGGTGGTCAACAAGAAACTCTGGATCAGGCTTTCGTGCTACTTGGCACTCGTCATCAAGGTGTACCTGTAATCTTGAGGAAACTGGTGCTCCCTGATGGATTCAACGCCGTATCACCCAGCTTCACAGTCAGGGACGTTACCGCTGAGTTATCCGGGCCGCGACGTGGTCGATAGCATTCGATCTGCACTAAGGAGTTGAAACATATGACATTGATCACCACCAAGTGATCAATCAATTGTGATTACATCTCTGTCCTACAGGAAATTAGTCGTGTGTTATGTTATTAACGACAAACATTAATTGTATTAATTAACACAGAACACTATCAACATTTAATAGACTAAGGAATTTGATAATAAGAATCAACAGGCAAATACACGAGTAGTGTGAAGTCAGCTCTGAGTTACACTTTGGAATGAAAGAAACAATGGCATAATCCAGCTTTTTCAACTCAACTAAACGCAACGAAGTTAAGTAAAACAACGAGCCAAATGTTAGCATTTAAGTGAAATAAAAAGTAAAAGCATTTGCGCCATTGTAAACAATTATGAACAATTTGACTTAATGTATACAATCACTGATTGCATTTATCGCTCAGACTTTGATCAGTTGGTTTGCTTCTACTAACAAGACTCAGACCAATAATCGATTATATCATGAACTGATGCCATATTTTGGTTTGGTTTCCTTTAGTTATTTTTCTTCCAATTTACTCCTACACCAGTTAGCATTGGCCATCAAGGCAGGTAATGATTACATGGAACAGTGCACTTGGTAATTGAGTTACATAAATAACATAAAATAGTTAAGAGGATAAACACTTACTAACTCCTATTGTCACACTTGATGAAGCAGTATAACAAGAGACGAAATTACCGTGATGAAAATATAAAATATATAGGATAGAAATGACGACACCAAGTTCTAATATGAATCTTACTTTTCTTGTTGTTCTCTCAATTTTTTCTTTTCTTTAATTGTTAAACGTCGACGTTTCTTAGGATCAAATTCTCCTTTAGGTTGAAATTTAGCACGTTCCACATGAATAGTATAACCAGGTGTATATAACATACCATCGAGAATTTTTAATGCAAGCTCCACTGATTCAACCTGATTGATTAATTTAAATGGAATTCAGTATTCCATAGATAGATATACATATACTATTGTCGTTGTTTGTTTGATGAGATGTATATTATACTTAGGGGATTGTTATTTTGTGTTTAAAAGCATGTATATACAACACATGTGTGATCGATTATTAACCCCATAAATATTTTAATAAAGATGAACACATAATACCTAAATAAAAAAACATCATTTCTATTACAAATTGATATCACTGAAAACCGAGTGATATTGGACAAGTGTTCCTCTGTCTTAAAGTTGAATTTCTTACAATATACAACCATAAATAGTAATAAACTAACTATGAATTCAAATAATCAGTACAATGTCAAGTTGCAAACTTGATTAAAAAAAAATGAAATATGAAGTTTAAATCAGTCAGTTAGTAACAACGTAGAACTTCGTACGTACGTAAGTACATCAGTTCGAGTTGACATACCACATTAGCACAGAGATGCAGTTGTCAACTCAAATTCCGTAGTGGTAGATGTAGTAAAAGTATAAGTAGTAATCGGAAGGATGAGGGTTTGAAGATGTTATTCAAGGAGTATAATACAGTGAAATAAATTCGGGAAAAAAATAAGGGACATGAAGAATTCAGAAGATTAGAATTCGGGAGAACACAAAGAGTGGATGCACTTGAGCCATTGCAAAAGATTTTGAACCATGTCATTCAGGGTTTCTAACCATCGGTTGCTATCATCTCGCAGATCCTAACCATGTAGTCTACACCAACCAACATGGCTCAGTCCACTTGTCGGTGAAGTAGTAGTAATTGGGAAGATTAGAGTTTGAAGATTTTATTCAAGGAGTAATAATCCAGTGAAATAAATTCGGAAAGAGAAAAAAGAAAGGTACATGAACAATTCAGAAGATTAGAATTTGTTTACTAGTGAATTTTAGTCAATATGAGAAAAACTACTCAAATTTAATTGGACAAAAGTAAATATGATAGACTGTAATAAATATAAACTTGATTGGTCTGTACGATTTGTAACTATTAGATAGAAACACATATGTCAACATATACCTTTCATACTAACATTTGTTGTCACCGTTATACTACCTGACAATCCACTGTAACTCATTTATCAGTTTTATAGGTTTATTTATAACGCTTTGAAATCATATTCATTACCTGACTGTTCAAACCGAAGTGGAATAAGGTTCAAATCTGCAAGCAAACAATTTAAAACTAAATAATGGTGCATGTATATTGTGCGATGCATATATAGTTCAGTGCCCCCCCCTTGTGCCAATTTCGGTGGTTAATTAGTTTAGCAACCAAACTAATCTTTTTTTTAACGCTCTTGTTATTGATCATATAATATTATGACAGGCACAACAAGCTAATGACGCTACTTTTCATATGTTAGAAAAGAATCTCTTAACAGCATTAAATAAGCTTACTGATCAACGTCCTAAATGAAATATATTAAAACTATAAATGTACAAACCCATTGTCGATATGCATATGGTTCCCGAGAAAACAGTCATGTCTCACATGGCAAAATGCTTGTAATAAAAAATGTCAATACGAAAATATATGAATAGTATTCATAGGCATGGTAATGTAACTCAACAGGTAAGAAAAAACCAAATTATTACTCAAAAAGTACCAACTCGTGAAATTGATTCTGAATCATAGTTTATGTATAGACCGGTGGTATTATTAGTATTACTACTCGTCAGGGGAAGATAAAAAATTGGATTAGTAAGCCTATGACATGGGTCAAAATCGTTTGCAATGGCGCAGATGCATAGACTTTTATCTTCCTCCACATTTTAAGCTTCTGAATTCCTCATAATTGTTTTATTCCCTAAATATGCATTTTTTTAATTATCCTCGACGCCTAATCTTTTCTATTATCAGTGATACTGTTACTATCTCTACTGTTCTGAGATCTAGCCTGACAATTTGATCTTTCTGTGGTATTGGGGCGTGGTAAGTTGAACCGATGTACATAAGTACCAGGTACTAATGTTGCAACTGAATGAGCTTATGAATCGTCATCAACTGATGTGATTGAGACATGTGTCACGTATGCTCAGCCATTATCGCCTACCTTGAGGCGCGTTATTAGCTGGTATAAGAGTAGGATAAAATGGAACTAGGAGTGTTTAAGCCAAAACGTAGCATTAATCCATGAAGCTATTGACTGTTGATCTGAGCAATGTTGTTAGGTGTAGACTACTTAGTTGAGATGCGTGCGATAACCGCGATGATTAATCCAAGACGTTCGGTGACATGAGTCACAATAGTGCGCATGCAGTCACTTGTTGCTGTCCCTTAGAACTTGGGTTCCAAAATCGATTTATACCTTTTGTTTTGTGGACTCATTCTTCGTCAATCATAATTAATATGTCTAGTTATTTTTTTACTAACATTTGTGCCAATACTTTTACTACTTCGTAATTTATCCTAGTAATTTATTTCATCGTACTCATGTGGTGTGGAAACTCAGATCGATACACTTATGTTTCAGGTTTTGTGTTGCGTGCGACTGACCGATCTGCTGGTTGAAAGCTGAAACCTTAAACAATTAAGCTGTTGCTTTCTTCCCTCATCAAATATTTACGGGCTACTTTACTACGATATTTAATGATATTCACTTGTATCCCAAAATATCGGTGGTCGATGTGGGATCAGGATCTATGACTTGAAAGTCAGGTCTATTAGTAGTCTCCTGAATACATGGATTTTTTATGAATACAGTGAAAATGTACGCTTTTGCAGAAATCTTGGAAAATCTAATACGAAAACATTTTTCCATTTTACAAACAGTAGTGGACAATAAAATACACGTGAATGAGCATAGTTATACTAACAATAGTGTGAAGAAAATTGAACAATCACCTGAATAAGTATTTGAGAATGTCTTATATATGGAATACGTGACAATAAAAGCAAATTAGATTTGGCACTAGGGATGGGTTTTCAGCATGTGCATGTATTCAGTCAGTCAGTCAGTCAGCTACAACGTAGAACCATGCACTTATGTGCATCGGTCCAGGTTGCCATACCGCATCAGCACAACAAGATGAACACCGGATTCATAACAGTGGTTAGGTAAAAGGTGGTAATATATAAGAGAAAGATTGCATATAGAGATATAGTACAAGAAGAAAGAATTGGTTAGTAGAAAGAAAGATATGAAGCGCTTTTAATCTCTTAGTTTAAGGGAAGAAACCGAGTGTATACACCTACGCCATTGTGATCGATTCTGAGCCATGTCACCAAGAGTCTCCAACCATTGGTTACGATAGTCACGCGGACCCCAACCAAGTAGTCTGCATCTACCAACATGGCTCAGACTAGAAGTTAGTGACTTCAAGCACTGATGCCACGTTTTGGTTTGGCCGCCCCTAACTTTCTTCCAACCATCCCCAACACCGGATAGCATTGCACGTCGTGGTAATCGGTGTTCAGGCATACGTAACACGTGGCCCAACCATCTCAGTCGATGAAGATTCATAACCTCATCAACTGATTTACCATCCTTTCCTAATACCCTGCGTCTAACCTCACTATTACTTACCCGATTATCCCAGCAGACGCCAGCAATATTTCTAAGGCATCTGTGGTCAAATACTAGCAGCTTGCGAGTGTCTTCTACTCTTAATGGCCATGTTTCGCTACCGTAAATTAAAACAGAACGGACTGCCGCGCAGTATACTCGTCCTTTTATTGATAGACGGATATCTCGCCTTCGCCACAGGTGACGTAAGTTGGCAAAAGCCAAGCGAGCTTTTCGGATCCGTGCTGAGATTTCGTCAGACACCAACCCATTGGGCTGGTCAGACTTCCACAAGTGAAGTTGTCAACGCGTTCAACTACTTCACTCCCTATCCTTAGTTCAGGTGTTAACGCAGACCAGTCCTGAAGCAACAACTTGCATTTCGAGGGAGAGAAGCGCATTCCAAACATTCTGGCATTGTTGCTCAGTGCTACCAGAAGACTTTGCATTTTGTCAGCGTCTTCACCAAACAGGACTATGTCATCTGCGTATTCTAAGTCGATAAGTGGACCTCCTAGATGGAGATCAATACCCGAGAATTCAGTCGACGAGAAAGTTATTTCCATCAGTAGGTCTATGATGAAGTTAAATAAAAATGGGGAAAGTGGACATCCTTGACGGACACCACTTGAGGTTGCAAAAGTAGATGACAGTTCGCCATAAGCTCTCACTCGACTAGTAGTGTTCGAGTAAAGAGCCTTCACAAGGTTTATGTACTTCTGAGGTACGCCTTTCAATGACAGACACTGCCACAGAACCTCGCGGTCTACCGAGTCAAATGCTGCTTTTAAGTCAAGAAAGACCACCATCGTCGGACGCCGATAAGTGTGCCTGTGTTCTAGAACCTGACGAATGGTGAATATGTGGTCGATGCAGCCACGACCAGGTCTGAAACCAGCTTGATTTTCTCGTGTTTGCAGTTCACGAGTCTTAGTTAGGCGTCTGATAATTATCGAGGCTAGTATTTTAGATATTATATTAGTTAAACTAATCCCTCTGTGGTTGTCACAGGATGATTTTGACCCTTTCTTATATATTGGGACGATAAGTGATTGTGACCAGTCAGATGGAATAACGTCTAACTCCCAGATCTTAGCTAAAATATTAGTCAACCTAATCGCTAAAATTGGACCACCATCCTTAAAGACTTCTGGAACCAGTCCATCTGGTCCAGCTGCCCTTCCTCGTTTCAGATTATCTATAGCCTTTTGAACTTCACCAAGATTTGGGGGACCTACTTCAATGTTCCATTCACGCTGTCTGGGAATGGAGGGTAGTTGTAGAGTGGCTGAAGGCCAGCTGAACTGTTCCCTAAAGTGTTCTGCCCATCGTTCTAAACGTCTGGACTGAGAGCAGATGAGAGTATCGTCTTTTTCCGATATAATCTCACTTACACTTGACTTTTTAATTCCAGTTTCTTTTATTAGTCTGTAAAGTTGTCTTGTGTTCCCTATAGTCGCCGCCTTTTCCATCTCTTTTGCTTTCGTTGCCCACCACTGCTCACGGTCGTTTCTTAAACTTTTTCTTAACCTAGATCTGATTTGTTGTCGCTCTTCATCATGTTCGGAACCTGATGGGACGAATTTGCGAGAATCCATCAGTGTAATAGACTTTGAAGAAATCCACTGGTTCTTTGAAACTCTGTAGTTTAAGTTGCTAATAGATGTCACTGCTGCTTCCACAGCTGCTTGTATGTCTTTCCAAGCAACATCTGGGTCAGCCTCGTGTTCAGAACTACTTAAGTGTGAACTCAGTTGTTCTTGGAACCTATTTTTGGTTTTCTCGTTACTCAATTCAGTTCTAATTGGTCTTTTTAATGTGGCTTTTTTGCGTCCGGTGAGGCGCAAGCAGATGCGTGCCCGTATTAGGGCATGATCGGAGTCCAAGCAGGTACTCCAGAATGAGCGACAATCTTCTACCGACCCTCTCCAACGATGACTGATGGCAATATGGTCTATTTGAGTCCATCGTTGGTTTGGTGTAGGGGGTCGCCATGTTAGACGATGTCTCTCCTTATGCTTAAAATTTGTGTTTGCTAAAAATAAGCGATTGTCTGAGCACAGTTGCAGCAGACGATCACCATTATCTGTTCGCTGTGCCGGAATGCTAAAATATCCACCTAAATGCCTTTCTGTTTGGTTTAAGCTACCTATCTGCGCATTAAAGTCACCCCCTACGAGTACTATGTCTGAGCGTTTAGCTTTCTGAAGAAGTTCAGAAAGCTTCCTGTAAAATTCATCCTTCACTTCATCGGAGCTGCAGTCAGTGGGAGCGTAGGCAGAAACGACAAAAAGGCAACGACGTGTGTCCCTATCCTTCCGAGTTCTTACGGAGCCGTTTAGCCGAACAGCACATAGACGACTGTTGATGGGGATCCACTCTAGCAGTGCTTGTTCCGCCCTCATGCTTAGTGCTATGCCTACACCTGCCAGTCCACGAGAACTGGCCATCGGGTTACCAGATACACGTAGGGTGTATCTCGTTGGCTCTCCGTTTTGCCGAGGTGAGGTCAAGTGAATGACCACACTGGAATCCTGTATGCGTGTTTCGGAGACACAGCATACATCAATGGAAAGAGACTCTAGGGTTTTAGCCAAGAAAGCCTGCTGACCGATTTGACATAAAGTGCGTACGTTGAAAGCTCCAATGTGTAGTTTGGAGCGAGGTTTCAGTAGACCTGGGACAGAGTTTTGAGCACTAGAATCGTTGGCTATGGTGACACTTGAGGAAGAAGCCGAAGGAGGAAGTTTAGGGTTGAAAGTCGATGTAGGAGGGATAATAGGAATTGAAGAGGAAGGTTGATTATGAATACAGTGGTCTTGGGTGCTGTTAGAGGTATGAGGGCGGTTATCACTTCCCGGTTGCCCACACCGTGGAAGGGTTCTTCTGGAGGTACCTGAAAAGGAAATTGGATTAGAGGCGGTCTCGGCGACCTGAGAGCGTGACCGCAGTGCCCAAGGGACAACTGCTTGAGGCCGGTCGCGCACAGCCTTTCCGTGGAAGGTTTTTGACATGTTAGCTCCGTTCTTCAAAGGGCCTTACCGCCGGAGACGGAAATCCGTGAGGTAAGGTGAGGTGTGCATTTTTAGGGTCGACCTTTTCTAACCCCACCCCTCCTTGTGGGAAGGCAGCATCGCTGTCATGCTGGTTGTCTGAAGGAAACACCTTACTGCTGTCACACCTCTGTACAGTCAGCAGTACGACTTCGCCTTCGGACCTTAGGTTTGTTGCTTTTAGTCTTACCGCTCTTCAACCGACCTGTCTGACATGGTAGGACCTTGAGGAACGGTTGTTCCAGCCAGTATAGCTCGGTTGCTTCATCACGATAGGCAAGCCCGACCACCACGTCAAGGTAGCAACAACGGTCGGGTGTGCATGTATTAAAACAATTCCAATTCAATTAACATAACTACAGTTAATAAAGTTTACATTAACAGATAAAACTGTAGCGGACAGCCCCACTATTATAAAAAATATAACTTACTCTGACATAACAGCAACGCCCATCACCTTTAGGAATACCAGCTTGATCCTTGTACAATTTTATACGAGGTATATTAGTAAAGGGTTCATTCATTATAACACCGCATTTTGACATTAGTGCTGAGAATTCCTCATCGGTTATTGTCGGAGGTAGGCCACTGACATATACATGTGTATTTTTACTCTCGTCTATCTGAATTTGGTAAAGTGAACATTACGTAAACAATGAAAACAAATAAGTAAATAAAGATGAAAACGAAATTACTTAATGTACTTCCAACCATTTAGGAAAGTAGATTGGATGCGCACTGCTGAGGGGTCCCACAATAGGACGAAACGGCCGTCTAGTGCTCCCATGTTTTCTATGGTGGTCTACCTTTAATTGACTCATGATCTCAACTATTGAAATTACTACAATCTCCACATGACCCCTTCTGATATTTAAGTTAAAATAGTATGACTTATTGACTAAGTACAGATCTGTACACTCAGCTTAAATTCACTATTAGACATGAAATAAGCTATACTACACAAGCTTGTTCAAAAGTGAAACAAGAAAAGCACGTTTTGAACCTGAGACCCTACAGTCGAAAGCCAAGTATCTTAACCCATAAATCATTTCTCCATTGAAATAAATAATCACAAGATATTTTCATGCTAATATCTTCACCCCCAAGGTTCGATTAACTTTTAAAGGTAGTAGGTAGAACCTATGCGACAGAGGCTACAAATACATAGCCGCATGAAAGTATTTCAGAGAGAGAAGACTCTCCATCTATAGCCGTGACAAAGTATTTGGGGCTAGAAGTTTGACCTTGCGGACAATCGTCACCTGGTACATTTTATTCTAATCTTATAGTCTCGTTCTTTCAGCTTTCTTAATGGCTTTCTGTTTTCTTATCCTGTATCGTTAAAAGAATTGGGAATAAGAACCCACTCAATATTGTGTCAACTTTTGCGTTGACCACAAATAATCTCTATATATTCAATTTTATTTTGTTTGAGCTATTCATACAATTCAATAGTAATTTTAACCGTCGTCACTAGTCCAGTTTCATCAGTTTTTACGTAGACTTAATTGTTATTATTTATAAGATATCTAATGACAGAATTTCAAACATCTGAGCAAATATTGGACGATCAAAATAGTCAACCTCCTTAGTACAGCACACGTATACTTAATATACTCTACGCTACATAACTTTTTCATTATTTTGTGTAAAAACATCTAAAAAAATTAACAACATGCTAATTAGGTAGGGGTTTAATGACGTTTTAAAAAATACGAAATATTCTGCCACTTCAGACAAAATAAGAATATGTTTATAGAACCTCAGATAAACAAAGAAATTTCGCGGATTATAGAACAATTACACTCCTTAATTGACAGTTAATAATATGATAGGGGAATGATAACTCACCTCATACCAGGCAGGAAGGGGGGCTGTCTGCTTTCTCTTCCGAGGATTAGGATCATTTGCATCGTCTGCGGCAACCTGTGCTTCATCAGCAGGTGATTGGTCTACACACACATCTTCCAATACGTCGTTAGAATTTGTAGGCTGTGCGCCAGATAATAATTCTGCTTCCACTCTTGCCAAAGCAGTATCCGGATCATCTCCTTCGTCTAGGAAACTACTAAGCATACGTTCAGAGGGCTTTAGTTCATGCTTTGCTTTGTTGCTAGATTTCTTTATTTCAGTTTTATGTTCAATAGGCTGGGTATTTTGGGACCCGTTATGCTTGCAGTAATTTTCGTACCATTCTCGATAGGCTGGAGAATTATAATAAGCTGTCAACGATTCATTAGCAGCTTTCATAAGCTGTTGTACCTCCACAGAATTATCACCTTTGGTCGCTCTAAGTTCGGCTAGCTCTGTGTTGAAGCGTGTCCAGTCTACAGTACTGGGTGCAGTATCTGAAGCGACAGAGGACTCATGCTGATTACTCGTAGCAACACCGTAACTCATTTGATAACGAGCAATAAAATCATCATCTATCTGCAAGTTTATGAATGAACAGTCATGGGATAAAATTCCAAGTAATATATATATATATATATATATATATATATATATATATATATATATATATATATATATATATATCGGTTGCAACATAGCATTTGCAGGTGAAGCGATGGCTTAGTTGTTGAAGCGTTTGACTTTCGGCTACTAAGTTCCAGGTTTAAACTCCGTTTCACCTACTGTGGTTCGCGCAACCGGGTATTATCACAAGCTTTCAGTGTGGCCCATACCCAAGAACCCGGTGAATGATCCTGGTATGACCACGGAGCCCAACGAACAACTACTTGGGGTGCCTTGTTAGTGAGATAAGTTATTACCACTTATGCATTTATTGATAATTACAAATAACCAGGTCTTCTAAATGGCGCACAATTTCGCGTAGGTGCACACTTGGAATGTATCGTCTCAGATCTGCAGGTTAAGATTTTCTGGAGAAAAGCAAACGCTAGGAGAAATAAACGAGTTTTAGCCATTATTTATTGTGGATTAATTGGACTATTCTCGGACTTAAAAAACCTTAGGGTTCAGCAATGGACTACTCGTATATACGATTATGACAATAAAAAATCCCAAATCTTTCTTCACCCACTTATTTGGCTGGGATTAGGTTACGGTAGCACAGTTGCATTCCTTCTCACCCAAATGTTAGGTTAGGAAATCACTTCACGCTTTTCACTCCTGAATTCCATGCTTCCACTCAACTCTACTGTTTATGAGATTTTTCCCTCTGTTGACACTACTAGCTTTGTTGGATCAATAGCCTGTAAAGTTTAAGATAATATAAGAGAACTCTTGATTTGGTTCTGATTTACGTCACTTCAGACTCCTTAGAGTCACTTACTTGTCTATCAAAGTGTAGCACAACAACCCCTTTAGTGTTATGCGAAACAATCACTGAAAGTTGTCATTATTGTAATTCTTTCCGTAGATACATCATGCGAACCCTAGCACCTTTTATCCTGACCAGTTCCACAGAACACATCTTACAGCGTAGTTGAGTACTGATACGTACACTTGAATAACATCTGTGAGTCGATTCGGCTTGGTATTTGTACTTTACTTGATAGGACTCTATACAGCGAACATCAACGAATACATTTGCAGCCCATCTCCATGTAAATTTTAGCGAATTAAATCAGTATGAATCCTGTGACAAGACTATAGTTTATGGACACACCAATCAGATATAAGATAACGAGCCACGAATTTTGGCACGAAATTCATCCGTACATTTGGCTAAATAGAGTTTTGGTATTATAGCTGATGTCAGTTCGTGATGAAAACCCAAAATCTAATTTTTAACCCTAACCGTCAACCGTAAATAAGAATTATGACTGCATTATGACCCTCATTTAGTCCTAATCAGTAGGTGTCCACCCTCAGGGTCACTTCAGCGTTGTTCAAAGGTCGTCCATAAATTATAGTCTCATCGCATCTTGTTTCTTTACAACTAAAACAGTACTTATTCCACTTGTGTTGAGTGACCAGTCAAAACGATGCATTGATTTGGTAGGTAGAAGTACATTAGTGCTATTTAACAATAACAGTATTCAGTTAATAAGCACTGAAATGTGGCCAGTCGACGGTGGATGAGCAGTTACAGCAAAATAAGTAATCACATGACTCTAGCATACGCCAGTCCAGCAAATAAGCAAGAATTTAACCACTTCCTCAACTAAAATGTTCACGATTCTTCAAAATAAATAGTAAGGTGCGTAGCTAAATAGTAAATGGACCCGTTTATCAGGTTAACTTTCGTCATGGGGAAACACAAAGCCATGATGATTGAAAACTCTAAGATGGTGACCAAATATCAGAACTGGGGAATTGGTTTAATAATTGTAGGCAAAAAAACTTGGTAGGAGAGATCAATCGTTATTTTGCGATCACACATAAATGTAAAAATAGTAGCTTACTTTAGGAAACCACCCTTTGCGTTTATCGTCCCATTCCATAACAGTCCCATCTGGATCGACTCTCGTTTTCACCTCGACATCAACAGTCTGAGAATTTTGAAGTCTAATCTGCTCCTCGAAATCGCGCAAGTCGTCAGACATCTCAAGGCTTTGGCGGGGCAAAGTGACCTTGAATCACTTCAGAATCTCCAAATCCCAGAAACCGAAGTCAGGGAGTGGAATTTTCGAAAAAAGGATATTTGAGTCATAATCAATCAGATTATCACTATCTACCAAGTGAGAAATAATGGTAATGCTATTAAAATTTGTGCCTTTTTTCCATACCCTACCGGTACATGTTCATAAGCACACAAGGATCAAGCCAGTCAACTGCGTTCTTTTTGTACATCAACTCAACAGCCGGTTACATAAAAAGTGGTCATGAAGTCCATTAACAGCGCCCTTCTACCTCACTCGGTAGATAACGAACGTTATATCAAAACAGACAAAGGATAGTGGTATTGTTTCTCGTTGACATAATTAACTGTTTTGATCGTAAATTAGGCATCAAAACTACTGTTTACACTTTAATTGTATCTACCCCAGTTAAAGTGATATTGTATTGAGTGTTTCGATTTCGCTTTTGTGTATTTATTGCATCGAAGCATACTTGGTCGACTTTTACATGATTTATTTAGTAAAGGTTTGAGAATCCTTTTACATATCCTGTTTTCGTCACCGTTGTAGTTGATTTTCAAGATGGCCAGATCTGCTCATAAATGTGTACAACCATATTGCTTATTTCCTGTGGAGGAAAGGATGCAATGTGATGAGTGTAATAAGTAGTTCCATAAGATGTGCACCTGATTAAGCCCCACTGCATATAAAAGATGCTCAGAGCCCAACTCTTGTTGGCTTTGTCGTTTTTGTTGCTCGAGCAAAACATTACTCATCCAGGAAGCACTTAGCCTCCTGATGTTGGCTAATAAGAAGGGTGATGAGGGCCGTACTGGTAACATTGGTACTGATGGCGAAGATTGCGTTAGTGTCGCGAGTGCTGTCATGGCGCAAGCCAGACATCTACCTGTGCAACCCGCAGTTAAACGTCCTCCCCTGAAACGATCAGTGAGTGACACCTCATTAGACGTTGGTGGCCGTATTGCTACAGCTGCGACTAGTGACCCATATAAGACAATTACTGTCCCGAGTTGTCCTAATGTAGACGTTTCGACTGATGGAAAATGGATGACGCGAAAACGCAGAAGAGTAGGAAAGACAGCTAAAACTAATGACTGTTTACTTGATAAGTCCTTGGTGGACTCTCAGATCACTCCGCCAAAGTCCCATAGTAAAGCTTCGTCTAACATTGTTGTGAGCCACTCGCTCGACTCCCAGGACTCTGTTACAATAAAAACTAATCGTAAGATACCAGGAGTTAAAATACAGGATCTAACGTCACGGTCGAAAGCTGTGAACACAGTTTCAAAAGAAGCTAAACCCCTCCCTAGTTTAATTATTTGGAATCTAGTGGAGTCGAAAGACAACTACCCTGTTAGAAGACATGCACATGACCTGCAGTTAGTGGAGTCTGTGGTAAGAAATGTACTACCTGAAGAGGTTTCGTGGGCACATATTACAAAATTAATACGACTTGGTAAATGAGTTGGAGGCGAGACCCAACCAAGAAGAATCCTGAAGCTGGTTCTCGGGAGTTTTGAAGAAAGAGACATTATTGAAAAACGCACTGAAAACTCGTGACTCAAATATCCGTATTCGACCAGATTGGCCGCTTAAGGATCGAATCAAGTGGAAGAATGCTCTTACGGAGTTGAGAACTCGCAAATTAAATGGCGAAAATAACCTTACCATTAAGGGTTTTCGGGTAGTCAGGTCTTGGATGCCAATGCTTCCGAGGCCTGTATGGGTATAACGGTTGATTGCCAAAACACCTTAAGTGTGTGCTACACGAACGCTTGTAGTCTTAGAAATAAGACGTCCGAGCTAAGTCTGATGGTGGAAGAATTATGTTCCGATATAATCGTTGTTACAGAAACTTGGTTCACAGTAGATATAGACTGTTCTCCTTTCATTGCAGGCTATATCTGTATTAGAAGCGATAGAGTTTCAAGTTGCAAAGGAGGTGGTATAATATTATACGTTAGGGATCACTTTCGTATACAATCAACCATATTGGAGGCTCATATCAGTGGCACATGCGAGATCGCATGTTGTAAGATTAAATCTAGAAGTGGGTTAGTGACTATAGGGGGAATATACCGTAGTCCATTTTGTCTTGCTGACGACTTTATCCTAAGACACATCTGTTTTTGGAGTATGGCAGAATGTTGTCTCATCATTGGGGGGACTTCAACGCACCGCATATCAGCTGGATAGAGTTTACAGCTCATGGTAGTGGTTTCGATAGCGACCTTTTATCTGCCGTTGTTCAGTGTGCACCTGTACAATGTATCGCGAAACCGACACATATTGATTTCAATCATGATCCGTCGCTGCTGGACCTCGCCCTCACCCATCATTTTGAGGATGTCTTTGATATCCAGCACATCTCACTAGTGAACAGTGATCACGTTGTTATTCACTTTAAGTTTAGGATACATGGTATACTATTTGTATTTGCTCCACCCCGTCCCAATATCTTGCGAGACAATATTCCGGCGATCAGAAACTGTGCTATCTCGACTGATTGGTCGGTCGACGTGGATGGATTGATCGAAGATGAATGGAATAAGTTTAAGGCTACATTCGAGTCCGCAACGTCGCCGTTTATCCCATGGTCAGCACGTAAGCTATCACGTTACCCTCCACGGATTAATAAGGAAACACTGAAGCTGTTAAAGCGTAGGAAACATTTCTGGGACTTATTCTTATTGACAGGTCATGTACCATTTAAGCGTGAGTACCAAACATTCCGTAATATCTGTAAGAAAACCATAGCCAAATCCCGTACTACTTGCGAACGACAGTTGGAATATGATAGTCGGGCCCTGACGGGTTACATCCACAGTTGCTGTCATCTCTTGCGGGCATTATTTCAAACCCGTTCGCGATACTCTTCAACATGTCCCGTTCACTCGCTCAACTCCCTAGAGATTGGAAGGATGTTACAGTCAGTCCTATATTTAAGGACGGTTAGAGACAGATCGTATTCAACTACCGACCTGTCAGTTTAACTAGCATAGTCGTTAAGTTACTTGAAAAGATAATTCGGGTTAGGTTGCTAAGCCACATAGATTTACGTAATCCGTTAGCTCCTGAGCAACACGGATTTCGCAACAAGCGTTCATATTTGACTAACTTGCTTATTGCGAGGGTAGATTGGACAGCAGCACAAGATAACGGTCTGTCTGTCGATGTGATATTCATAGATTTTAGCAAAGTATTTGACAAGGTTTCACACGTAGGTCTTATGCAGAAGCTCACGAGCTTCGGAATAATAGGTACTGTACATGAGTGGATAGGAAGTTTCTTATGTGACCTCAGACAGAGAGCGAGGGTCAACGGAACGCTATCCGATTGGAAGCCGGTCAAACTTGGTGTACCCCAAGGCACCATCTTAGGCCCTCTGCTCTTCCTTCTCTACGTCGATGAGTTACCGCTGTTACTTAGGTGAAGTAAAAATGATGTAAAAATCTGGAGAACAATAAAAAGTGCGGCTGATCATCTGGATCTTCAAGCTGACTTAGACGATTTAGTTAGATGGGCTCGAGAGTGGAGCTTAGAGATCAACTCTACGAAGAGGGTGCTAATGCACATCGGTCACGGTAATAGGTACTGTTACACTATTGAGGGTAAACCTCTTCCGTGCGTTCAGGAGTATAAAGACTTAGGAGTAGTATTAATTCATGATTTAAAAACAACTACGTATTGCAAAGCAGCCGCTGTCTGAGGTTTTCGTGCGTTATGGTCACTTCGCCGAGAGTTCAAATCTTTTGACGAGGAAACGTTTCGAATTTTATATCCCATGTATGTTAGACCACATTAAGAGTACTGTATCCAAGCAGCTAGCCCGTGTCTGGTAAAGGATACTAACTCCCTTGAGCGTGTCCAGCGTGTGGGAACGAAATTAGTGAAGGGTCTTTCTAGATTCCCTGACGATGAGCGTTTAAAACGCCCCTTGTCGTATCTTAAGATACGAGGTGAACCTATACTGGCATTTCGTATCATTAATTATGATTTGTGCGTTATTATGTCTTATCTTTTTGCTCCTTCCAGCACTAATAATCTCCGAGGTCATAGCAAGAAGGTTCATAAACCACGATCTAATAAACTTAAAATGGGGTCCCGTTTTTCTCATCGAGTAGTCAATGATTGCAACGCCTTACCCGAACAAGTGGTATCAGCCCCATCAGCGAATACTTTCAAGGAGAAGCTGAACCTTCATTGGAAAGCAATATGTCAGGATTAATACAGGTTCACCAACCTACTGTCCTTATTACTCAAGATTGAAGACTGATTTCTCTAGACCACATTTCAAGCAATTTACCCAACCTACACTAATCTACATAGCTGATGTAACCTAGATCAACCCCAGAAAGCCTAACTTACCGATCCAAGAAAGGTATGTTCAGGCCCTGTGTTTACCATGGTCAATGACTAGATCGCCTGGACATTTGTGGAGATAGACCTGACAAGCTTATTTTGTAAATAGTTTTTAATATTATTTGTATTTATTTTGTCAATCTTTCACCGTATGTATATTTATCATTAAATGACTGTACCTGTTGTTTTTGTGAACGACCTTGAACACGCTTTCCGTTGTGTCACTGACATGGCTTGACATACTGCTGCGTGCTAACAAATACATTGCTATACACACATGCCTTGTTCTAACTTGTGATTGAGCTAACTGCATTCTAAATCAAATATTATCTGCATTTATAGACTGTGAGTCGGAATATATCATACTTAACACTGGTTTACATTACTGGAGAGTCCACAAACCTGAACGGAATGACCGAACATTTATAACTGTGGGAAGTAAAGTCTCAATTTTTCTGTTGTATTTGCAACAATTAACATTATTATTTACTCTCTATAACTTGGTCAACAGTTTTTTCACGTTCATATTTGTCTGGTCCACCACACATTACTTGGTTACATAATTACGCCTGTTACTCCCAATGGAGTATAACCCGCTGACCAGCATTCTACAACTCACTCTGTCTTGGGCC